CCCCCTACATACTCACAAGTACCAACACAGGCACAGTCATGGGCACACACCACCCTCGACAGCACCATTTCCAGCCTCCACAGGGCAGTCTCCTTACAGGGAAGTTAAGGAGACACTAAAGAAGGCTCAGGGGTCAGGGACGACCTCTGTCAGAAAGTCTTTCCTAGACCCGGTTCTGCCTCTCACTTGCTGGGGGACCATGAGAAAGTTGCTTCCCCTCTTTGGTCGCAGTTTCCCCAGCTGAGAAATTGGGGGGGGTTGAGCCAAATGGTCTAAGGTTCTGAGAACCTCTAAGTCAGAGCCCATAGCTGGTGGTCAAGATGAGAGAGAGGCCCCTGGGGTCAGCCAAAACCTGAGAGGCAGGACAAGCCCAAAGGTGAGCAGCCCACATCAGGTGGGCCCGGAGCTGGAGTGTGAGCCCCACAGCCTGCAGAGCAGCCCTGGACTCGAGAGCCCGCTCGCACTGCCCAGTGGGACTTCAGAGATATGCGGTCCAGCCTCCCATAATGCTGCAGGGCTGGGGGCCGGGAGCTGCAGATTCTGACCCCACAGTTGCTTTAGACTTGCCAGATGAGCTGGGGCAAGACACAACCCTCTCTATGAAATGAGCAGTCAGTCCAAATAGATACACCATGAAGGGCTGTGGAACAAATCCAGCTGTACCCTGGGGATAGACTGGCTTCCGGGTTACTCAAGCAGCTGGCCTCTGGGGAAGGGGCCCCAGGTATGAGAGGCAGGACTCAAAATCTAGGCCCAGCCTCCACAGCAACCTCTCTGGAGAGCACAGGGCAGTCTCAGAGGCACAGCAGGTGCACTAGGAGCATGTGTCACAAGGCACCCAATATAGCATCTGCTGAGAGAGGTGGTCAGCTGGAAAGAGGATGCAGTAGGCAGGGTGGTGGCTGCTCCCCACAGCCAGGAGTCCAGCCCAGCACCCACTCAAGTCTGCCTCAGTCCTGCTCAATTGAGTCATCCCCGCTCTGGGCCCTCTGGTCCCACCCACAGAGGAAGGGCTTTGGGGTGACCGGGTGAGCTGGCCCTTGAGGGAGGATGTAATTGACTCCTGAGCCTGGACAGCCAGGCAGACCCTTTGCCAGCATCCCACCCCCACCTCTCCTGCCCCTCATTCCCCAGTTCTCCCACCTGCTCCCCTGCCCCAGCACGTGCCTCTGCTCACCCAGTTTTCCTGCCCCCAGGCTCGCCTGCTCACATGTCCATGACTCTCCTGAGTCTCCCTCTTTCCAAGCTGCATCTACTTGACACATCCTCCCCGATGGCACCAGAGTATACAAGCTTAAGTCCCTGCACCTCACCTTTACTCCCAGGAATGGAAGGGAGATAACATGAAGACCCAAATGCCCTTAGCAAAAGATCCAGAGTATGCACAGGGGCAGATCCGAGGCTGTGGAAGCTCTGGGGGTTCCCTGCAGAAGGCTGCATTTAAGCTGGCTCTTGAATGTGGCTCTGAGCTGAGACCTCTACCTGAAGCTCCAGACCAGGAGCCAGCTACCAGCTGGACCCCTCCATTTGGTGTCTCAAAGGAAGCTTGCACTCTGGAGGTCTAACTCTGAACCCAGAAAATTACCCCATCTCAGCCCTGTTTCTTCTTAGGGAAATCACCATCTCACACCAAGTAGTGCACCAAACCCACATTTGAGTAAGGGGGTTCCCGCCCCGTCCTGCACTGTGAGTACTCTGCATGGCCAGTGCCAAGAGGGAAAGAGCTCTCAATGCCAAGCCAAACCATGTGAGGCTTAACTCCAACTTTTGCTCTGTGAGCTGTGGATAGGGAAGCGCCCTAGTCCAGTCTGCTGTACAAAGACCAGCCTGCCACTGTCTGGTACATGGGTGGCAGGGGCAGAGTATGGATGAAGAGACAAGGAGGGCCGGGCTGGGGAAGTAGGCCAGCCTCTGCAGGCCCAGCTCCTGCATCCCAATGAGTGGCCTCTGCAGGCCCAGCTCGTTCCTCACAGCGGCCTTCCAGGCCCAGTTCTTGGATGCCTTTTGGCGGCCCTTCCAGGCCCAGCTCATGCCCCTCGTGGCCTCTCCAGGCCAAGGTCCTGCCTCCTGGCTTCCTCTCCCGGCCCAGCTCTTCCCCCCGCCCCTGCATCAAAGGCCCAGCTCTCCTCCCACCAGCTGCGTCTACGGGCCCAGCTCTTCCCCCCACCCGCTGCGTCTATGGGCCCAGCTCTTCCCCCCACCAGCTGCGTCTACGGGCCCAGCTCTTCCCCGCAACTTCCCCCCACCCGACTGCGTCACAGGCCCAGCTCCTGCCTCGCCTCGCAACAACCTCTGTAGACTCGGTCAGCTCCCACCCAGCTCCCGGTGGCCTCTGTAGGCCTGAAAGGTCCTCAAGTCAAGCTCTCCAGGCCCACCCAGCTCATGCCTCATGGTGGCCTCTCCAGGCTCAGCTCCTGCCCTCCGCCGAGGTCTCCAGGCCCAAAACTTCCTCCAGTCGGCTTCTCTCAGCCCGGCTCCGGCCTCCTCCTGGTGGCCCTGGCAGGCCTGAATAGCCCTGAAATTGGCTTTTCCAGGGCCAACCCCTGCCTCCCGTCCGGCCTCTCCAGGCTCAGCCTCTGACTCCCTCGTGGCGGCATCCCCAGGCCCAGCTCTTCTTCCTCACTGGGTCTACAGGCTCAACTCCTGCCTCCCAACAACCACCTTTGTCCCAGTGCCTGCCCAGCTCCCAGCAGCCTCTGTCAACTTTAGTTTTTTTCAAGTCAGGCTTTCAAGGCCTTCCTTCGGCCTTCCGGTGGCCCGGACACACCCAGCTCCTGCCTGACCACAGCCTCTTCAGCGCAGCTATTCCCTATGTGGGCCTTTTCTAGCCTTGTTGCTCCCTGTTTTTCAGCCATTTTGTCAGGCCTTCCCTTTGCCTCACAGTGGCCTCTTCTGGATCCAGCTCTATAGGTCTTTGATCGTCAACAGCATCCAAAAGCCCGAAGCTTCCCTGGACTCTCATCTGTTCACTGTTTAGCAGTGTGCCTTGGCTGAACACCTGCCTCTACTTTTAACCTGCAGAGTGTAGTTTTGACAGATTTGTAGTAAATTCTGCCTGTGTCTTCTTACAGTGACGTCTCTTTTATTTAGTGTCTAATGGTTTTTCTTGTCTTCCGGGGTTCGGAGGGGACTGGGCCTCTGCTTGGGCTGTTTGTCTTTGCCCTGGACACGGTAGCTTCTCATTTCATGTCTTCTTTTTTCATATTTTTTACAGTTAATTTTTTTTCCTTAGGGTCCTGCTCTGCCACCCGGGCTTGGGTGTCGTGTGATCAGGGCTCCACTGCAGCCTTGGCCTTTTGGCCTCCACTGATTTTCCCAAGTCAGCATCTTGAGTAGCTAGTGTAGACCACAGGCATATGCCGCCATCCCTGACTACTTTCTGAATTTGTTTGAAAGGTTGGTTCTCACTCTGTGGCTTAGGCTGGCCTTAAACTTGTGGACACAAGCAATCCTCTTGCCTGGGCCTCTCGATGTGCTGAGATTACAAGCATGAGCCATCCATGGGCTGTCATTTGCTTGCCATGAAGTATTAAGAACTTACTTTTTGATTAATATACTATGATTATATACATTTGTGAATACATCGATATTTTAAGCTTTTCTGGAATATCAATTTTCTCTTTTCTCTTTTCCTTTTTTTTTTGAGGCAAATTACTGCTTTGTCGTTCAGGCTGAAGCACAGTGGTGTGATCTCGGCTCATTGCAACCTCTGCCTTCTTGGCTTAAGTCATCCTCCCACCTCAGCCTCCTATCTAGGGCCCTAGGTACAAGCCACCATGCCCATCTAATTTTTATATTTGTTATAGACATGGGGTCTCATCATGCTTCCCAGGCCAGTTTCAAACTCCTGGACTCAAGTGATCCTCCCCCCTCAACCTCCCGCTGTGCTGGGATTACAAGTATGAAAGTGTGAGCCACTACACCCAGCCCGCCATTCTCTTTTCGTGGATCATTAAGAATTTACCTTTTAATTAGTATACTATAAATATGTATGTAGATATGTGTATAAATATTTATATGTGAATATGTGTGTATGTAAATACACACATACATTGTGAAAGAGGTATTTGCATACCTAGAAATTGATAAGCTTCGTCCAGCTTTTGAAACCACCCTTAGCACAAACACAAAAGTACAAAATATCATTATTGATGACCATGGACCAAGATGACCATGAGTCAATAGTACTTTGCAGCTCACCCAGCTTCAGCAGGGCATCTCAAAGGGCTGGATATATCTGAACATCATACCCACTCACGTAGATTAGGACGCTTTGTAATTATTACTTCTCTCAAGACCTCAGTGTGACCCTCATCAGCATGAAATCAGAAACTATTCCCCAAATCATAGAGATGATCAATAACAGGTTTGGTCAGGAAATCGTTCTTGCATTTGGTTAGTCACGACAAGCTCCTGGCCTAGGCAGATGGAATATCGCAAAAGTGTGTGTGTGTGTGTGTGTGTGTGTGTGTGTACATTCTTGCACACAGATGTGGGGGTAGAAGTAGGGGTTGCATTTGATGAAACCCGAGGCGGGCACAGGCTGCTGGGAGGGGCGCTTGTTTTGGCAGCACCTGTGTAACTCTACAGTTAAGAAATAATGCTAAGCCTCAGTTTTGTCTCCTGGAAAATAAAGATTATAATTCCTGCCTTGATATGTCAATCAGGTGGTCCACTACATGCAAAATATCTAGTATATAAGGGGTGCTGAATAAATACTACTTTCTGTAGCTCATTCTTAATCACTGCTCAATTTTAAAACGTGAAAACGTTAGAATAACAAACGCTTTTGTAAAAATTATTTGTAATTATTATATTAAATCCAAGTCCTATAGAAAAGTATAAAAAGGCCGGGCACGGTGGCTCAAGCCTGTAATTCCAGCACTTTGGGAGGCCGAGGCGGGCAGATTACTTGAAGTCAGGAATTCGAGACCAAAGTGAGCAACATAGCAAGATCCCATCTCTATAAAAAATTAAAAACCAGTTATGGTAATGCATACCTGTAGTCCCAACTACTTGGGAGGCTGAGGCAGGTGGATCAGTAGAACCCAGGAGTTTGAGACTTCAGCCTGGGCAACAGAGTGAGACCCTGTCTGAGAAACAGAGAGAGAGATTTATTCAGGAAGCAATTAAGTCTGGGGCCTTGATCAAGGATCAATCTGTCAATAACCTAGACCCAGCTAGTCTGAGGTGTCCTTTCTCTTCTGAGAGTTGAATGATTAACACAGAAAGTATAAAGGGTGAAAACATAGTGCCAGGTGTGGTGGCTTATGCCTGTAATCCCAGCACTTTGGGAGGCCAGGGTGGGTGGATCATCTGAGGTCAAGAGTTCAAGACCAGCCTAGCTAACATGCTGATACCCTGTTTCTACTGAAAATACAAAAAAATTAGCCAGGCCTGATGGTATGCACCTGTAATCCTAGCTACTTGGGAGGCTGAGGCAGAACTGCTTGAACCCAGGAGGCAGAGGTTGCAGTGAGCAGAGATCATGACACTCCGACTTGGGCAACAAATGCAAAACTCTGTCTCGAAAAAAAAAAAGGCACAGTAGCTCACGCCTGTAATCCCAGCACTTGGGGAGGCCAAGGTGGGTAGATCACAAGGTCAGGAGTTTGAGACCAGCCTGGCCAATATGGTGAAACCCTGTCTCTACTAAAAACACAAAAATTAACTGGGTGTGGTGGCACATGCCTGTAGTCCCAGCTACTCAGGAGGCTGAGGCAGGAGAATCGCTTGAACCCGGGAGGTGAAAGTTGAAGTGAGCCGAGATCATGCCACCGCACTTCAGCCTGGGTAAAAGAGCAAGACTCTGTCTCAAAAAACAAACAACAAAAAAACAGTATCTTGCACATTTAATGCAACCCAGGAAACAAAGCAGGGAAGGTTCAAAAAATAAGGGACCACAGCGTCCACATGCTCCACTGCCTCTTTGGCTGGCAACGGACCCCAACTGCTCCTGCGCCGCTGGTGGCTCCTGCAAGTGCAGAGTGCAAATGCCCCTCCTGCAAGAAGAGCTGCTCCTGCTGCCCCGTGGGCTGTGCCAAGTGTGCCAACAGGTGCGTGTGCAGAAGTGCAGCTGCCGTGCCTGGTGTCAGGACAGCCCTGCCTCCAGATACAAAGAGAGTGGCGCCTAAAATCCAGGACTTTTTCTCTACAACCCCGACCCGTTTGCTACATTCCTTTTTCTGGGAAACGTGAATGATAATTAAACACTAAGACATGGGGGAAAAATGAATCCGAGAGTAAGAACTGTGATAAAGAAAGAAACTGAAACCCCAGTGATGAGCATTTTCATAGCCTGTTCAAATCGAAGCATGTAGCCAGTTCTGTAATCACTGTGATTTGGGATTTGCTTTCTACCTCTTAAGGTATTTAAAACACTAAGAAGGCAATATTACAACTTTCGTTTTAACAACATCCTCAGAATTTGGAGTCAAACAAATAATAAACAAGTTTACAAGTAACAGTTAAATATTTAAGGACATTTAATGTACTAACTTTTGCAAACAGTACAAATATTTAAAAGTGTTGCCTGGGAGTAAGGGAATGTCAACTGCCAATCAATGCAGAAGATGAAAGAACAGGACTTTCAACAGCACATACTCAGCTCTGGGTCTGCATCCCACACAAAAACTCCCGGACATTGGTGTCCACATTTCCTGATGACCTGCTCTTCACCTCAAAAGGGTTATCTTTCCACCACCCCAGCAAAGGCCCTCAGGACACATGATTCATACTCGCAGCTGAGCAGCTCCCCGACGGACAAGGTAGGCACACACGGAGGCGGCTGGGCCGTCCGAGCCCTAATCCCTCCAGCGGTGTCCACACTGGGCATTGCAGCACTTGTAGAAGGTGGTCATGGGCTCGTCCGCAGAGCGGGTCTGAAGCTGCATGAAGTAGGCCCGAGGATGTTCGCATTTGGGACAGGGCTCTGACAATGGGAAGAATGAAGTGACCCACATTAAGCAAACATGATGCTCATGACTTTTTAAAGTAAGCGTTACTTTGTATCTTGTTTTGTTTGTTTTGAAATGGAGTCTTGCTCTGTAGTGTGGGCTGGAGTGCAGCAGCCTGATCTCAGCTCAGTGCACCATCCACCTCCCAGGTTCAAGCCATCCTCCTTGCCTCAGCCTCCCAAGAAGCTGAGATTACAGGTGCCCACCACTGCACCTGGCTAACTTTTGGGTATTTTTAGTAGATACAGGGTTTCACAATGTTGGCCAGGCTGGTCTCGAACTCCTGACCTCGTGATACGCCCTCCTCGGCCTCCCAAAGTGCTGGGATTACAGGTGTGAGCCACCGCGCCCGGCCAACTTAGTATCTTTAAAGCTGGTAAAGAACCTCCCTGCTCATTTGATTCCTGTTGCCAAGGGCAGACCTACAAACAGTGATGTCATTCCCACGATGCTCCAACACTAAGGGAATCTGGGAGACCTGTGACCCCACAAACACTCCTCCTCCCCTCCTGGGTCCCAGGGTTCTTCTCAAACCCGCTTGAAGGCTGGTTGGAAACATGATGCAGAAGGTGACTGTGTGGGTGCACGCTGTGCTGCTAATGCTAAGTGCTGGTTCGACAGTGGAAGAGTTTGGAAGTAAATGCTGGGAAAAGCCTGCACTGTCGAGAATGGAGCGTTCAGGGCGATTCAGGTGTGGGCTGAAGAGAAGAGGTGTAGGGGAGTCTGACTCTTCGAAGGCATTCCGTAAGTGCTTGTGAACAGAACGTTGGTAGAAACACAGACAGTGAGTACCGTTTCGATGAGGTCTCAGACAAAAATGAAAAGTATCTTCACAATTGGGGAAAAGTGGCAAAAACCTTGGCGAATTAGGTCTGTTTCCGAGGACTTTGTAGAAAGCAGAACCTCCACAAAGTTCTAGAATCATGAACTAGGGTATCTGGTAGAAGAAATCTCTAGGCTACAAAGTGTTCAGGACCCTGCATGGCTTTTCCTAACTGCTTACAGTAAAATTCCAGAAGAGAGAACCAATATATAATGGGAATTAATAATTAAAAGGGAAGCAGAATGAAGATTTGGAAAATTCCTAGCTTACCCACATAAACAATAAAAAAGTGGACTGGGCATGGTGGCTCACACCTGTAATTCCAGCAGTTTGGGAGGCTGAGACAGGAGGACTGCTTGACCTAAGGAGTTCAAGACCAGCCTGAGCAACACGGCAAGCCCTCATATCTACAATTATTATTATCATTATTATTATTATTAATTATCATTAGCTGGACATGGCGGCAAGCGCCTACAGTCTCAGCTACTCAGGGGGCAGAGGTGGGAGGACTGCTTGAGACTAGGTGGTCAAGGCTGCAGTAAGCAATCACCACTACAGCTTGGGCAACAGAGCGAGACCCCATCTGAAAAAAATAGAGAGAAAACCAAGAGTATGGTCAAGGGACCACATGATACAGAGATGAGAATGGACAGAAGGCAGCCAGATGCTATTCATCAAGCAATGGGAGGATGACCCCTTCAAGGCATTTTTGGAGATCCTGGGGTGGGATGAGGGGCTCCCATGCCCATCACAGGCCCAGAGTGGTTTCGAGGGACCTCAGGGCTTCCTACAGCTCCCCTGGCTCTCCGCTCCCTGTATTCCAGGGCACTATTCCTTGGCCAGATCCTACCAGACACCAAACCTGCTGGTGACTTGTTCTTGGACTTCTCAACCTCCAGAATCATGAGCAATAAATGTATATTCTTTATAAATTACCCGTATGTGGTACCCTGTTACAGCAGTGCACACCATGCAGATTCCCCTAAGAAGTGTATCATCTTCCCCTGGGCAACAGACACACACCTTTCATCTTCCCACTGGATGACTGATCCAAGGATCCATTTTGGCAGCAGTTCCTCAGGCTGTTCTTTATCAACATCTTATCACACATCCTATGTCTTTTAAAAGTGCCCCAAGGCACAGATTTCCCTTCAAAGTGACTTCATTTTGAGAAACTTACTCTACACTTGATAGAAATGGCTTCAAACACTCTCAAACAGTATTTCTTACATTAGGTACTTAATCTTTTCTTTCCAGATAGTCTCACTCATGCTGGAGTGCAGTGGCACGTTCTCACGTCATGACAACCTCCACCTCCTGGGTTCAGGCAATTCTCCTGCCTCAGCCTCCTGAGTAGCTGGGACTACAGGCACGCGCCACCAAGCCCAGCTTTCTTCTTTTCTTTTTTTTTTTTTTTGAGACAGAGTTTTGTTCTTGTTGCCCAGGCTGGAATGCAATGACACGATCTCAGCTCACTACAACCTCTGCCTCCCAGGTTCAAGCAATTCTCCTGCCTCAGCCTCCCAAGTAGCTGGGATCACAGGCACACACCACCTCTACTTTTATATTTTTAGTAGAGATGTGGTTTCAGCACGTTGGTCAGTCTGGTCTTGAACACCTGACCTCAGGTGATCCACCTGCCTTGGCATCCCAAAGTGCTGAGATTATAGGCATGAGCCACTTCGCCCAGCCGCTCATTTTTTTCTTTTTTTTTTTTCCCAGACAGAGTCTCACTCTGCAGCCCAAGCTGGAGTGTAGTAAGTGCAGTCTCAACTCACTGCAACCTCCACCTCTGTGGCTCAAGCAATTCTCCTGCCTCAGCGTCCTCAGTAGGTGGGACTACAGGCGCCCACCACCATGTCCAGGTAATTTTTTGTATTTTAATAGAGACCAGGTTTCACCGTGTGCCCAGAGTGGTCTCAAACTCCTGAGATCAGGTGATCGCCCATCTTGGCCTCCCAAAATGCTGGGATTACAGGTGTGAGCCACCATGCCCAGTCTAATTTTTGTATTTTTAGTAGAGACAGGGTTTCACCATGTTGCCTGGGTTGGTCTCAAACTCCTAACCACAAGTGATCTGTCCACCTCAGCCTCCCAAAGTGCTAGGATCCCGGGCATGAGCCACCACACCTGGCCTAATTTATCTTTTAATGACAAATTCTACCAATGCTAACTTTTTAACACAGCAGATTTGTATGTTCTTCTATGGGGGGAAAAACACAGTAATAATCATCAGTTGTCTCTTTCCCCTCTCAACACAACTTATATTTAGGGCCTTCCCCCTTCCTCTCTTGGTCACTTCTATCTCCATCAGACATGAAATAAACATTTATTTTACCCAATCTGCAGTTTAATGCTCCTTGGTATTAACTTCTGAAAATCTGTATCAGAACAGTGTATCAGTCCATTCTCACACTGCTATGAATACCTGAGACTGGGTAATTTATTTAGAAAAGAGGAATTTTTTAAACAGTACTTTGAAAAAAAGAAAAGATGAATTTCGTTTCTTTGTCTGTTTTGAGACAGAGTCTCACTCTTGTTGCCGAGGCTGGAGTGCAGTGGCACGATCTCAGCTCACTACAACCTCTGCCTCACAGCTTCAAGCAATTCTCACGCCTCAGCCTCCTGAGCAGCTGGGTCTACAATTGTGCACCACCACACCTGGCCAATTTTTGTATTTTTAGTAGAGACATGGTTTTGCCATGTTGGCCAGGCTGGTCTAGAACTCCTGACCTCAAGTGATCTGTCCACCTTGGCCTCCCAAACTGCTGGGATTACAGGTGTGAGCCACCGCGTCCAGCCAAGAAAAGAGGTCTACTTGACTCACAGTTATGTGTGGCTGGGGATGCCTCAGGAAACCTACAATCATGGCAGAAGGTACCTCTTGACAGGGCAGCAGGAGATACAATGGGTGCAAGCAGGGGAAATGCCAAACACATAAAACCATCAGCTCTTGTGAGGACTCACAAGAGTGATATCAGAACAGCACAGTGATATCAGATAGTGATATCAGAACAGCATAGAGGAAACCACTCCCATGATTCAATTACCTCCCGCAGGAACCTCCCAGGACAGCTGGGGATTATGGGAACTACAATTCAAGATGAGATCTGGGTGGGGACACAGCCAAACCATATCAAACAGAAAGAATATAATTTTTTCCTTAGACTCCGGTTTTTATGAATCTACTCATCACTGCCATTATAAAAGCTATTATAAAAGCCACCTGTTGAGTGGCCCTTCTATACTAAGCACAGGAGAACCCACTTTATGTTCTCACAATCTGTGAATATGGATTAGCCTCAGAGAGGTCAGGCGACCCAAGGAAGGTCCTAAAACAATAAGCAGTTCCCTTGAGAATCTAACCCAGGCCTGTGTGACGCCAAGGCGTGCACAGATATTGCTTGTGTAACCAATTATTAAATCGTAACAAACACAAATAATTATTCAAGAAAAGATTTTCTATTTTTAGAAGCCTACATCATTTATATGACATAGACTCTGCCATGCAGTGGCATCAACAGCCTCATACTTATCCACAGTGTCGTAACAAAGAGTTTCTCCTCTTACCTGCAGTAGAGTCAACATTCTCCCAGGCAGCTGCTCCACCAAGCACATCATCCACTTCTTTCAGTTTCGGGTACTTCCGATTCGTTACCTGACAAAAACAAGCCTTCAGACTCAAAGTAGCCAAATGGTGCAAACTTGGGCCTCCAAACCTCAAATTTCAGGACTGCATAAGAATTCACTCTTCCCACAGTTTCAGACTCTACACTCCCACAACACAGTACAAAACGGAGTAGTATGCAAACATTAAGACTGAGGTCACACCACGACGTTCTAACTTCTGAAAAGTAAAGGTATTCTGGCCGGGCATGGTGGCTCACACCTATAATCCTAGAATTTGGGATGCCAAGGCAAGCAGATCGCCTGACGTCAGGAGTTCAAGATCAGCCTGGCCAGCATGGTGAAACCCCATCTCTACTAAAAGTGCAGAATTTAGCAGGGCGTGGTGGCAGATGCCTCAGGAGGATGAAGTAGCTGAGCTACTCGGGAAGCTGAGACGTAAGAAATGCTTGAACCTGGGAGATGGAGGTTGCAGTGAGCCAAGATCACACCACTGCTCTCCAGCCTGGACAACAGAGCAAGACTCCATCTCAAAAAAAGAAAAAAAGACAGTTCACAGCTGTAATCCCAGCACTTTGGGATGCCAAGGCAAGATCGCCTGAGGCTGGGAGTTCAAGATCATCCTGGCCAACATGGTGAAACCCTGTCTTTATTAAAAATACAAAAAATAGCCGGTGGTGGCGCACGCCTGTACTCCCAGCTACTTGGAAAGCTGAGGCAGGAGAATCACTTGAACCACGGAGATGGAAGTTGCAGTGAGCCGAGATCACGCCACTGTACTCCAGCCTGGGCAACAAGAGCAAAACGGTGTCTCAAAAAAAAAAAAAAAAAAAAAACAAAAGTAAAGGTATTCTAAAAAGCAAATCTGTATTATTAAGGAAAAGTAATAAGTTATAATACAGTGCATCATCTGCTTACTGAACAGCTACTATGTCATAGGTTTCCTTTTAGTTGTTCAGAATAGAACATGGAAAGGAACAGAGAAAAACCCTGCCCGCCTAGACCTTAGGTCCTACTATTAATAAACAAAGCACACAATACATTACATAATATATTAGGAGGTAATAAGCCCTATGGAAACAATTAAAAAGGGAAGGAGGGGCCGGGCGCGGTGGCTCACGCCTGTAATCCCAGCACTTTGGGAGGCCGAGGCGGGTGGATCACGAGGTCAAGAGATCGAGACCATCCTGGTCAACACGGTGAAACCCCGTCTCTATTAAAAATACAAAAAAATTAGCTGGGCACGGTGGCGCGTGCCTGTAATCCCAGCTACTCAGGAGGCTGAGGCAGGAGAATTGCCTGAACCCAGGAGGCGGAGGTTGCGGTGAGCCAAGATCGCGCCATTGCACTCCAGCCTGGGTAACAAGAGCGAAACTCCGTCTCAAAAAAAAAAAAAAAAAAAAAAAAAGGGAAGGAGGATAACTGAGAAGGAAGGGCTGCAACTTAAAATACAGTCAACGTTGAAGACAAGACCAGACCAGTGAGTAAGCCGGCTCTAGGGGAAGAGTGAACCAAGCAACCTTAAGTGCCAGTCCTCCAGGAGGCTGGTGTTGATGGGGCAAAGGGCAACAGGAGGAGCGCCGGGCAGCGGCTCAGTGTCGGAACCTGGTAGGTCCTGGAGGACTCCGGCTTTTCCCCTGCGTGAGCTGGGAAAGGTCGAAAGTTTCTGCGCACAACACGGACCTGTGTGACTCGGCCCTTACGGAATCGCCGTGGCCGCTGCTGCGAACGCAGTAAGGGGCGCAAGCGTGAGAGCAGGAACCCAGGGAGGCGGGAAACGGCGGCCTAGCCGGGTGTATAGGAAAGCAGAGCCCACGGGATCCGCTGCCGACTGGAAGGGGGCGCGAGAAAGAGCGGACAGCCGGGCGCAATGGCTGACTCCCGTAATCCCAACACCTTAGGAGGTAGAGGCGGGCGGATCACGAGGTCAGGAGTTTGAGATCAGCCTGGCCAACACGGTGAAACCCCGTCTCTACTAAAAATACAAAAAAAAAAAAAAAAAAAAAAAAATTAGCCAGGCCGGGCGCGGTGGCTCAAGCCTGTAATCCCAGCACTTTGGGAGTCCGAGGCGTGTGGATCACGAGGTCAAGAGATCGAGACCATCCTGGTCAACATGGTGAAACCCCGTCTCTACTAAAAATACAAAAAATTAGCTGGGCATGGTGGCGCGTGCCTGTAATCCCAGCTACTCAGGAAGCTGAGGCAGGAGAATTGCCTGAACCCAGGAGGCAGAGGTTGCGGTGAGCCGAGGTCACGCCACTGCACTCCAGCCTGGGTAACAAGAGCGAAACTCCGTCTCAAAAAAAAAAAAAAAAAAAAAAAAAAAAAAAAAAAATTAGCCGGGCGTGGTTGCGGGCGCCTGTAATCCCAGCTACTCGGCAGGCTGAAGCAGGAGAATCACTTGAACCTTGGAGGAGGAGGTTGCGGTGAGCCGAGACCGCGCCATTGCATTCCAGCCTGGGCAACAGAGCGAGAGGATGTCTCACTTTAAAAAAAAAAAAAACAAAAAAAAAAAAAAACGAGAGAAGGAAAGGGCAGAGGCACAGACACGCCGGGGCTGGCGGCGAAGGCGCTGCAGTCGGAGGAAGCGGAAGTCCTGCGAGAGACGCCCGCCTTCGAGTCCCACCTTGCGGGTGATGTTGTGCACGTAGGGGCACGTATTGCAGGCGAAGCGGTGGCAGCGCTGTCCCTCCTCCACGATCAGCCCGTTCCCGCAGCCGGGGCAGAACAGCAGCATCGTCTCCGACTCCACAGGGCCCGGCTCCCAGCAGCTCCCGCCGTCCCTCAGCGCCGACACACCGCCCGCCTCGAGCTCACGTCGGTGCCGGCAGCCGCCCCGCCCCGCCCAGCCAACCAATAGACAGGGCGATTCTGCGCTCCCAGCAGGCTATCTCGTACTTGTCATTGGTCACTGCAACTGCCCCTCCCCTCGATGCACCAATGGCTGGGCGGCCTCGCTGGGGCGGGCCCCCGTTCCTGCGCCTGCGTACTTGGCCTCCGTAGTGCGGCTTGGCAGTGCGGGCGGGGCCCTACTGAGACGCGCAGTCCTGGAGCAGGTCGAGGCCGCGAGTCGGCCCGAGGCGCAAGAGGACGATGAGGACGAAGAGGAGACGCTGCCTCACTCCGAGGCCGTGGACGTGTTCCAGGAGGGTCTGGCCATGGTGGTGCAGGACCCGCTGCTCTGCGATCTGCCGATCCAGGTGTGTGCGGGCGGGGGCTGGGGGGGTGGGGTCGTTCCCCCGGGGGCCGGGGGCCGGGGCGTTCGGGTGCGTGCAGCCTCTGAAGGTGCTGATGGGAGAAGGCGCCTCTGGGTGTAAACGAGGGTCTTAACCTGGGTAGGGCGCACTCGCCTGGGGCGCGAAATTTAAAGAGGCACCAGAAACCTCACTAGTGAGTGACAATAAATGACCTTTTAATGTAATTGTATTTAGAGGGGGTCTGGGGGACAGGGTCATGCTCTGTCACCCAAGCTGGAGTGCAGTGGCGCGATCTCGGCTTACTGTAGCCTGGACCTCCTGAGCTCAAGCCATCCTCCCACCTCAGCCTCCCGAGTAATTGGGACCACAGGTGCGGGACACCACGCCCAGCTAATTTTTAAATTTTTTGTAGAGAGGGGGGGGTCTCACTATGTTGCCCAGGCTGGTATCGAACTCCTGGGCTCTGGCGATCCTCCTGCCTCTGCCTCCCAAAGTGCTGGGATTATAGGTGTGAGCCACCCGCCCAGTCTGTAATAGTTTTAAAAGTAAAAGTTGATGAAAAAAAAAAAAAAGCCTACAGTAAAGAAAAAAATCTAGTTTTAAACAAGAGCAAGATTCGTAGCACTGATTGTTCCATTTGCCTCAAGCACCAACATGCTTTGGCACGATACTTTGTTTGAGTGGGTTTTTTTTTTGAGACAGAGCCAGGCTGGAGTGCAGTAGCACGATCTAACATGCTGCCCAGAATGGTTTCAGTCTCGTGCTCTGCCCACCTCGGCCTCCCAAAGTGCTTAGGTGACAGGCATGAGCCACCGCGCCCGGCCAATTCTAAATGTTTGATATTTTGCTCATGGATTTTTTAATTGGCCTTGTGCTTCTTAAATGTTGTGTTAAAATATTTATAGTTAATACCGTTTTTTGCTGCCCTGGTAAATTTCCCACACCTGCTTTACCCCAGTCCCAGTCCCAAGCCCTGGCCTGGGTGCTGATGATCAGAGATACTCAGGGTGAACTGACAGTCAGGCCCCTACCCACCCCCTGGGGTGGATCCTCATATGAGTGTATTCTCTTGTTCCCCAAGAGACTCTGTCCACTTTGGACATTAAATTAAGATGTGAGTGGAACATGAGATTGGGGCTCGGATGAACTGGGAAACCCTAATGTGTAGGGAAGCACGTCTTCCCCTCCTCGCCCTTCATAAAATGGAGCAGCAGTTTTTGGCCACTATCAGCTTGTTCTTTGTTGTTCAAGGTGGTAAAGAGAGCCAGTTCCCACTTCTGCTCTTGGTCTCTTCTAGGTTACTTTGGAAGAAGTCAACTCCCAAATAGCCCTAGAATATGGCCAGGCAATGACGGTCCGAGTGTGCAAGATGGATGGGGAAGTAATGCGTAAGTGCCGCCCTTCTCCCTTCAGGTTATGTGGTCCAGGCTTTCACAGCAGCAAGATGTAACAGGGCTGGTCAGCCAGCCCCGAAACTCACAGGCCATGCCCAGGGGTATTGGGGAAACCACACACCTGCCCTGCACACAAAGCTTCCGGGTTCCTTTCCTGCCGTCAGAGGCTATGGCTTTGGGTTCTCACCATGGATCTTCTCCCATCTGTGCCCGTGGTTGCAGCTGTGGTTGTAGTGCAGAGTGCCACAGTCCTGGACCTGAAGAAGGCCATCCAGAGATACGTGCAGCTCAAGCAGGAGCGTGAAGGGGGCATTCAGCACATCAGCTGGTAAGTGGAACAGCAGTCCCTTCATTATAGCCCCTCCTGGGGCATGTGCCCTTCTTGGCACTGTCACCAGGCACCCCCAGGAAACAGCTCTCAGCACCACATGAGTACAGCACCACTGAAGTGATACGCTCCCTGTCACAACAGTCCAGACAGTGCGGGTCCTTCTGTGCCTTGGGCTCCTGCCTTGGCTGTCCCCAGCACACTGTTCTCTCATCGCCATCGCCCATCCAGGCTGCCGGGTATCTTCACTTGGAGACACCGTAGGGCATTTCCGGTGTGTCTGGAAGTGGCCTCCCTAGTTATGGATGGTACACCTGTAATGGCTCCCATCCCCTTCTCACCTGGGTGCTGTCAGCCCTCACTCTCCTGTTGGATCAAGTAACCTGTCTGCTGAATCTCAGCACTGCCACCTGTTGCATTAGCGAGGTGTTGTTTGGCCACACCGCCCCGCACAGCCCTCTTGAGAACACAGCCTCCTTGCAGCTGCCTCAGACCCGCTTTGCACATTGTATAGAACAGCACAGGGAGGGAGGACAGCTGCCCCAGGCCCCATAGGGCTGGATGCCTCAAGCCCACGTCACGGTCAGGGCCTGTGGTTTACCTGAGTCACCCACTTCCAGGTCCTATGTGTGGAGGACGTACCATCTGACCTCTGCAGGAGAGAAACTCACAGAAGATAGAAAGAAGCTCCGAGAGTAAGTGCTGGCCACACCTTGAACTGTAGGGGGACGTCTGTTCTGTTGTCCGCTAGTCCCCCATGCTCTGCCAGAGGGCTGCAGCCCCCTCTCTGGAGAGACTCCCTCCCCCAAGGAGCTTCCTTGGGGCCCTCTCCACTAGGAGATTGGCAGGCAGGGGGCACCCAGAGGGGCCTTGGTGCTTCCCACCAGTGGCAGCTCAGGGCTACACATTGCCCAGAGAGTGGGCGTGGAGGCCAAGGGCTGCCCCACCAGTGCTTCAGGGTCTGTGGGAGGACAGCCACTACCATCTCCTGACCTTCCCAATGGCCACATGCCTCCCCTCTGGTTATTTTGTGGTCCCCCAGAAGCCTCATGAGGGTCACAGACCTGTCCTGTAGGGCGGGTGGTTTACGCCTTTCCTTTCCAGCTACGGCATCCGGAATCGAGACGAGGTTTCCTTCATCAAAAAGCTGAGGCAAAAGTGAGCCTCCAGACAAGGAAGGATGGCTCTCTTCACTGGTGGCTGAGTTTTTTCCCAGCAGCGTCGGGTCCTCAAGAAAGGACGTTGTGGTGGCCTCACCCCAGGCATGCCCAACAGGAACTCTCAGCACCAACCTGGGAGCCCCCAGGACTAGGACCGGGTGAGCCAATGCTCCCTTCTTCCATGTGCTTGGCCTGAGACTGACCTCTCCCTGCGTCCAAATACCCTAGCCACATGCCAGATCCACAGCCTGGCCCTGTGTATAAAATAAACCTATTTCCTTCTTAGTTTGAAAAGTCAAAAGCCGCCGGGCGCGGTGGCTCACGCCTGTAATCCCAGCACTTTGGGAGGCCGAGGCGGGTGGATCACGAGGTCAAGAGATCGAGACCATCCTGGTCAACAAGGTGTATTTTTAGTCTCTACTAAAAATACAAAAATTAGCCGGGCATGGTGGTGCGCACCTGTAGTCCCAGCTACTCGGGAGGCTGAGGCAGGAGAATTGCTTGAACCCAGAAGGCGGAGGTTGCAGTGAGCCGAGATCGTGCCATTGCACTCCAGTCTGGGTAACAGCAGCAAAACTCCGTCTCAAAAAAAAAAAAGAAAAAGAAAATACAAAAATTAGCTAGGCGTGGTGGCGTGTACCTGTAGTCACAGCTACTCGGAAGGCTGCGGCAGGAGAACTGCTTGAACCTGGGAGGTGGAAGTTGCAGTGAGCAGAGAACATACCACCACATTCCAGTCTGGCGACAGAACAAGACCCCATCTCAAAAAAAAATAAAGTCAAAAGACACAGGACCCTGGGTAGGAAAGACTGAGGCTGCCCCATCACAGAGGGCAGTTAAGGGGAGAGAATGGGAGAGAATTGGTATAGGTGAGTCCTGCAGTCCAAGATGACAGCACACCACCTAAGCTTCGTGGCCACATCACTCCCCAAATGACACAACTATGTAACCATGATCTCCATAACAAGGAGAAAATAAAAGCAGAGTGGCTTTAGGGTCTGCGTTGGCTACCAGACGCGGAGAAAGAGCAGCAAGTGCACATGCCTGGCTGAAGGGCTTCACTGGGAGGTGAAAGAGCCTGTGACTCTACCTGACACTCAGTTCCCTGCCCCAGGGACTTGTGAGTGGGAGGCAGGGGGCCTGCAGGACTTCCCTCTATAGCTCCCAGCCAGAAACAAAGACGAAGAAGAAGCCCCGGTCAGGTTAATGGCAGCTAAAACGCTCCCAGTCCATTTATTGGCCACGTGAGGTGGTCGTCAAGAGGCAAATGAGGTTATCACAGGAAGATGTGTAATAAGTGCCCGGCAGCACAAAGGGTTCAGCAGAGTGAACAAGGCACACGAGGTCTGTTCAGGAAACAGGCCAGTCCCCTCGTGGAGCAGGTGACTCCCATACGCCTGTGAGTCTCAGGGTTGTGGTGTCTGGCTCTGTACTGTGGGAGCTCGTGGCCCCTGGAGCCCGCAGCCAGCTCAGTGTAGCTGAGCGTCCAGTTCGTACTTCTCACAGAACTTGTCGGTGAAGGGGATGCAGGTGAGGAACTCGCACCACTCGCAGCGGACAGGATAGACGTAGAAGAGGACCACCAGGCCAGCCAGGAGGCCCAGGAAGACCACCTGAAAGACGATGATCTGGCAGCGTTTCCGGTACAAGTCGAACTTGCCGAAGCTGATGTAGGGCAAGAAGGCGAAGGACAGGAAGAGGCCGCTGATGAACCCTGAGATGTGGGCAAAGTTGTCGATCCAGGGCAGCAGCCCAAAGGTGAAGAGGAAGAGCACCACAGCCAGCAGCTTGAAGAAGGCACGCCACGGCCGTGCCAGGATCTGCCAGCTCTGGAAGAGCTCCACAAACAGGCAGGCCAGGATGCCAAACTGGGAGCCAGCTGGACCCACCTGGGGGGTGGTGGGGGCAGCTATAAGGCCGTGGGGCTGGGCAGGTCCCCTGTACCCAAGGTCTCATCTTTCTGCCCCCACTTCCCATGGCCTAGAGCATACTGGGACTGAGGATCCAAATGGAGATGCTCCCTGCCAGGCACTGCAGAGGCCCAGACTCCACACTCCATGTGGACATGTTCACGGCAAGCTGCAGGGGCACACAGGAGGACCCACACCCGGAGGGCCAGCCTTACCTCTGCTCGGTACGGCAGGAAGATGGCACTGGCCAGGTTGCCAGTGACACCACTCAGCAGGTAGATGATGGCTATACGGTGCCAGCCTGCCAGCTTCTCCAGGTCCCTCAGGACGGTCATCTGGAAGCAGATGGACACCAGGCAGTGCAGGATCCTGTGGTCAGTGGCAGGTGGCGGTGGGGAGACATTCAGCAGGGAAGTAACCTCTCTGCCACCCCAGCCAGCCAATCCTGGGGACCCTGAGACCACCCACGCAGCCCGGTGTCACTTGCCCGGCGTGCAGGAAGAGGGACAGCCACAGGCGGTAGAACTGGTCAGGCACCTCAGGGTTGAGGAAAGGCAGGAGCCCACACACATCATCCATGCAGTGCACCTGTGCAGAGCAGCATGTCAGCACTCACAGCAGCTGGGGGAGGGGAAAGACAGGCACCCCGGAGGCCTACCTGAGAGCAGAGTGTGGCCTCCTCATGGAAGTAGCCCCTCATGAAGTCACAGTACTCCCGGGAGGTGATCTCACACCTAGAAGGGCGGGCCAGGGTTGGGAGGCTGCTGCCTTGTGGAGGGCACTGCTGGCATCCAGGGCAAGTTTCAGCCACACCTACACATGTTTGTTAGCCCTGAAGAAGTCCAGACCCCTTCTGACCCCACACCCCTTAGCATACTGGGTTATTTCAGGAATTTTTTCTTTTTTTTGAGACGGAGTCTCGCTCTGTCGCCCAGGCTGGAGTGCAGTGGCACGATCTTGGCTCACTGCAACCTCCACACCTCCCAGATTCAAGCGATTCTCCTGCCTCAGCCTGAGTAGCTGCGACTACAGGCACGTACCACCACACCTGGCTGATGTTTGTATTTTTAGTAGAGACAGGGTTTCATCACACTGGTCAGGCTGGTCTTGAACTTCTGACCTCATGATGCACCCACCTTGGCCTCCCAAAGTGCTGGGATTACAAGCGTGAGCCACTGCACCCAGCTATTTCAGAATTTGGTTAGGGAGAAGGCCCAGCCCTAGGACGATGCTCTGAGCCCAGAAACCAGCTGCAGTCCCGTGCACGCACGCCTACCTGCCCTTGGTGCCGATGCAGCAGGGCCGCCCTGTGATGACACAGTCCATATGCGGATGGTTGGTGTGGTTCCCGGCACTGTTTTTGGTGCAGATCTGGGTCACAAATGGGGATGAGTTAGGTCAGGGCCTCGCCCAATTTTTGGCCCCACACCATGTTTAGGGGTAGAGGCAAAGGTAGGTGGGCTCATAAGGTAGAAAACTGTGGTTTCCAGCAGGCCACCGCCCTCTGAGTCTCTGTCAAACTGGAATAATGTCACTTGACCTTTCAAGTCTCCATCTAGTTCTCCTCATCTACTTGCTCAGAGGAGCAGGTGTTGGTTGATGGACAGGCTGTGCAAAGGCCAGGTGCACAGCATCTGAAAACGTGAGGTGGTCCCATGATGGGAATCTCTGGCATCACCAATGGGTGGGTGTGGTGGGCGCTCTCCCTGCATGACAAGGATGACTCCCTAACAATCCCCCACTGTAGCTCACCGGCCACCTGGTGATGTCTTCTGGCCACTCATGGGGGTCTTCAGAGGAGGGCTCATCACACACCCTGCATGAGCCAAGTAGGTGGTCAGACCCTGCTGGGAGCCCCTAGCGTTGGCACCCTTCCAGCCAAGTTGCCAACAAGGGGAGCCCCTACGCCCTCTGCACCACAGCCCCCAGGAAGGTGTGAAAGGAGGCAGGTAAGAGCACTGTGGCAGGACTAACCTGGGATCCTGGTGGCAGACAGAACCAAACTGTCTCTTGTGGCCGGCAAGCTCTGGGGCACTGGGATGGACAGGCCACTTCACCCACACTGCCAGCGTGGACTGTGGGAGGAGGACACAGGGTCAGGCCCAGCTGGGTCGGGACAGTGAGGGGCGCTCAGTAGTCAGGAGTCAAAGGCAAAACCACTGAGCTCATCCCTGAGTTCTACGAGTCACCCCCTATGAATTGATCCTCTTGAAGCGCACAGGGGTGTTGGAGGAGACTTAAAAGGAGTTCGACAGTGGCCAGGTGCAGTGGCTCATGCCTGTAATCCCAGCACTTTGAGAGGCCGAGGTGGGCAGATCACCTGAGGTCAGGAGTTCAAGACCAGCGTGACCAATATGGAGAAAGCCTGTCTCTACTAAAAATACATAGATTAGCCAGGCGTGTTGGTGCGCGCCTGTAATCCCAGCTACTTGGGAGGCTGAGGCAGGAGAATCGATTGAACCCAGGAGGCAGATGCTGCAGTGAGCCAAGATTGCACCGCTGCACTCCTGCCTGGGTGAGAGCAAAACTGTCTCAAAAAATAACAACAACAACAACAAAAAAACAAGGCTTTCGACAGCATAATTCCTGTTAGCTGAAAATCAGCATCAACCTCTGTGTCCTAAATCAGGGAACCGGCATGGACTGTGGCACCTCCATATAAGATGACGTGATGAAAGTTTGGGTGAACTGCCTTTTTAAAACTGCTCAGTGGAAAAGAGGGCAATGCCACTGACATAAACGTTAAGACACGTGCAGGAAGAGTACACCCAAGTCAAACAACCAAATCAGATGGTGGTCTACGGGGCGAGGAGCTGGAGATGGGGAAGTGTGGGGTGGGGACAAGGAGGAATGGATGTGACAGGAACGGCCTTGCACATAGGAAGGCGGGATGTGCCAGGAAAGAGCGCGAAGGATCGCTCTACTGAGTCTTATCTGAAGTCCGAAGCAAAGAGCGAACTCGGGGCAGGCAGATGCGGGGTGGGGGGGGTCCTGCTGGGGAAACGCACCGAGCACTCCTCCTCCGAGGTCTGCACGCAGCCCGACCTGTCGTTGCGCACGCAGCAGGCCGAGTGCTTCTCGCGCTCGCGCGCTGCCCGAATGAAGCTGTGCACCTGCGGGTCCTGGCGCATGCAGGGCGAAAACTTGGCGCCCAGGTGGATGAGGGCCTCCTGCGGGCGAGAGAGACCAACAGCTGCGTTCCCTGCCTCCCGCTCGCCGCTGGCACCTCCAGGTCCCGCCCCCGCCGGCCCTGCCCCAGCCCCGCCCTCACCGAGCTAGGGCCGATCCAGAAGTTCTCCTGCTGCACGTACTTGACGTTCTCGTAGACCCCGCGGTTCCGCAGCACCTAAGACGGTGGGGAGCGGCATCAGACAGGCCCGCTGTGGGCCCTCTCAACCCAGAGCGGGGCGGGAGCGGGTGCAGAGCCCAGATCCCACTGGCCCGGGCCTGGTGAAGGCACAGGGGCTCACCGAGTCCACCGTTTCATGCTGCGAGAAGCCCACGGGGGCGATGCCGTAGATGCACACGGCTAGAATGGTGACGAGCGAGTGCACGAAGGTGAGCCAGTAGGTGAAGAAGGGCCTGCGGGGCGGAGCGTCAGCGGGGCCTCAGCCCCGACCCGGAGCCCCCAGCGTCCCCACGGAGCCTCCATCCCACCCCAGGCCTTGCCTGCCTCGCCTACCTGTGGTCGTCCATGTCCTCAATCTGGCGCTTGACGAAGCTGTCAATGCGCTTGCGGTAGGTGCGGTTGGTGAGCCGTCCCACCATGCCCAGCCCATACGGCCGCTTCTCCCGGGCAAAGAGCTTGCGCACCGGCACCGCGATGCGCTGGCCCCGCCGCGGCCCCGCGGTGCTCACCACCTCCTGTCGGAGCCGCACCTTGGGCTGCTGGGCTGCCGCACCCTCCTTCTGCTTCCGCCAGCCTCGCTCCAGGGGCCTGGGGGCAGCAGGTGTTCACCTCCCGCCCCAGCCCCCCACAGGCTGCCGTCCCTCCCCGGGGCACCAGGGCACCCTGTCTCTATCCTGACGAAGACGCTGGGCAAGTCCCCCGGAATTTGCCTCCTCCTTTGCCAGTAAAAGAGCAATACTGTGGGCCTCCGGGGATGGCAGGGAGCAGGAACCAGGACCCACAGAGTTCTGCCATTCAGCAAGGATCACCTCTATCACCTCTGCCTCCCCATTGGATTCTGTCCCGCCACTGGGCTCTAAGATTGCTGTCCTATCCCACAGACAAGCCTTGACCCTGAGGCCATGCCCAGCCCTGGTTCTTCTACCCCTGGTGGCCAGTGTGTTCCCAGTCCCTGAGGCTACCCCTTCCATCACCCCCAGAAGTGAATGCCAAGACTCGCCTGGCTCTTCCTGACGGCCCGGCGTCTCCCTCTGGCCCCGTTCCCTGCCTGCCTCACTCACAGCATCAGGTGGCTGCGCTCAAGCTCACTGCGGTCCAAGGCCCCACCGGTGAGGTCTGCCTGCTCCGGCGCCTTCTCCCAGTCCTTGAGTGCTGCCTCCGATGGGGACTCGAAAACTTCGTCCGGGTAGGTGGACAGCTCTTCATGGAGGATACCTTCCTGAGCAAACACATGAGGTCAGGGTGGACACCGGGATGAAGGGAACTGGGGTGATGCCCTGGGCACTCCTTACCCGGGCAAAGAAGGACGTGTCCAGCTCATCAGGGAAATCAGTTGTGTCCTCCTCCAGAAAGCTGGCGGGAGTGAAGCTTCGACGCTGTGCCCGGCGCAAGGTGCCATCCCTAACAGAGCGGCCCTGGGCATGGGGAAGCAAGCATGAGACCCGGCTGCTGGCTCGGCCCCCCACCCCCACCCTTGGCCCCTGCACTCACTTTCATCAGTGCCGCGGCTGCCCGGAAGCTCATCTTAGCCACCGACTCTCGCTTGCGCCGCCGCGGGAGCCGGTGGAAACCTGAGCGGGAGCTGGAGAAGGAGCAGAGGGAGGCAGCACCTGGCGTGACAGGAGTGTGTGGGGCACTCAGGCCTTCCGCAGTGTCATCTGCCACCCGGAAGGCCCGGCCACGGGCCAGGGGATCTATGATCTGGAGAAGGGGAGGAGATGATGGAGTCAGGACTGGGTCAGCACCATGCAGGCTTCCAACTCCCCCAGGTTCACAGAGGCCTTGCAGTCAAAGAGCGTGACTGCTACTCCTGACACCTCATGGGCCCCTGGCCAACTGCAGGGACACCACTCCCACCCCACAGCACCTAGAGGTCCTACCTGGAATGCTCTCCCATCCAGACAATGGCCCCTGGTGCAATCCCAAGACCATGTCCCCATCCCAAGGTACCCCCTCCCAGGGACTGTTTCAGGTGCCTTCACGGGCAGGCTGTCTAACTGCCCTTCCAGACTGTAAGCTCCCAAAGAGCCTCTTCTTTTTGTTTGTTTTTTTGAGGCAGAGTTTTGTTCTTGTTGCCCAGGCAGGAGTGCAACAGCGCGATCTCGGCTCACCGCAACCTCCGCCTCCCAGGTTCAAGCGATTCTCCTACCTCAGCCTCCCAAGTAGCTGGGATTACAAGCACGCACCACCACGCCCGGCTAATTTCGTATTTTTAGTAGACATGGGATTTCTCCATGTTGGTCAGGCTGGTCTCGAACTCCCAAACTCAGATGATCCACCCGCCCCAGCCTCCCAAAGTGCTGGGATTACAGGCGTGAGCCACTGTGCTCAGCCCAAAGAGCTTCTACTCAGGCCGGCTGTGTCCGCAGCCCTAGCCCCTGGGAGCAGAAGGAGGGGCCTGCAGGAGGCAGCAACAGGCAGGCACACCTTCTGCATTCCCAGCTGGCATGGCCCCACGTACAGTGGGGGTGGTGTCTCGGTGCTGGTCAGCGACACATTGTCCTGGCTGGGCAGGTCCAGCTCCCGGAGGACCTGGGGCTTCAGCTTCCCATAGCGCTGGCTGCAGTGACGGATGCTCTTGCGCTGCCATTTCTGGGTGCTGTCACTCTCCTTGCTCACTCCAAACCAGTCAGCGGCCCCCCTGGCATGGCAGAAACTCAGCAAGGAGCATCCAGATCACCCCTCCCAGGCAGGGACTTGGGCGGCCCTCCCCGGGGGCAGCACGTCCTGCCCCAGGCCTGCAGTCACTCCTGGGGCCAGAGTCTGGGTGGGCAAGGTCTAATAAGAGGATTCGTGGGTTCCAGCCACCCGCTGAACTGTTGGCCAACTCCAAGTTCCCACTAGACTGCAGCTGGCAGGGCCTGCCTAGCTGAGTGCTTCCCAGAGGCCCTCACCCCACCATTCTTGAGGGGCTGTTGAGGGGAGACACAGTCCAGAGAGGGAGCTTGGCCCCAGGACACCACAGAACTCAGACAGCAGGTGCTTGCAGGCCCAAGCAGGCTGTCCACAGCACTTGGACATGCAAACAGAAACACTGCCAGCACCTGCCATTAGGAACCCCAGGGAATAACCAGGCTGGCAGCTCCCAAGGGGCCCCATGCCAAGCACATGCCAGAACACCACACTCGTGACCTGTATGAAATACCTGAGCAGGGACCGAGAGAGAGACTGGCGCTGTGGGAGGGCCCTGCGGGCAGCCCAGGGACCCAAGAGGGGTAGAGTGTGGACGCGCCCGAAGCGTACTTGTCGGCTGCTAAGAGCATCCGGGTGGTGAAGACAGAAGGAGAGAGTGAGTGCCAAAGAGAAGGGAGGGGAGCAGGGGAGTGGAGTGAGAGCAGTCAGTCTCCGCAACAGGAGGAGGGCAAGGGGATGTGGGGACCAAGAAGGAGGGGGAAGCTGAGACAGGAGGGCCCCTTGCCTCACTCCCATCCTCAGTGTACCTGCCTATGCCCCGCCAGCCCCCAGCTCCCACCCCATGGAGCAGCTGGGCATTGTCAGTACCTGCGGATGGTCTGTGTGATGGACGTCTGGCGCTGCAGCACCGGCCGCCGGAGCTCATAGTGGGGCGAAGAGATGTGGGCTGTCTCCGCTGGCATACTCACACTCCTCAGGAAAACCTGTCGCCTCAGGGGCTGGGCAACAGGGTCACAGTGAGGGTGGTAGACAGGGGGCACCCACAGCCCCTGCTGGCCAGGGCCTACCTGCAGGAAGCTGGGCTCTTCTGCTGTCGCGGGTGCTGCAGAGGGAATGTCCAGCTTTAGCCAGGGCGGCTTCTTGCGCTGCAGGCTACTTGTGCTGTCCCGGCGGGCCTCACTCATGGTTCCCAGCAGAGCGGGGCAGGCCTGCGGGCGTGGGACGTGTTATTCAGTAACCACAACGCTGACAGACTTCTGAAGATTCATTGCGCCCAGACCCAGGAGGAGGGAGAAGCAGCGACAAGCCCACCCGTGGAGCTCAGGTCCCCCACTGTCAGAGCCTTACTGTGCTCAGCCCTGACTTGCTCTGAGCCTGGCTTGTTCATCCCAACAGACAGTGCTGGGCACATCCTAGGTCCTCAGGCAATGTAAGTCCATGGGACAGCTATTTGAGCCCCCAGTATGATCAGGAATGGCTCCAGGTGCTGGAGACACACTCGTGGAGAAATGAAACAAAATCCCTGCCCTCCTGGAGCCTGCAGTCTATACAATGAACTTTTTAAATAAGTGAATGTACTGGTTAAAAGATGCTAAGTATGACGGGGGAGAAAAAGCAAAGCAGGGGCCGGGCGCGGTGGCTCACGCCTGTAACCCCAGCACTTTGGGAGGCCGAGGCGGGTGGATCATCTGAGGTCAGGAAATCAGGACCAGCCTGGCCAACATGGTGAAACCCCGTCTCTACTAAAAATACAAAATTAGCCAGGCATGGTAGCGCATGCCTGTAATCCCAGCTACTCAAGAGGCTGAGGCAGGAGAATCGCTTGAACCCAGGAGGTGGAGGTTGCAGTGAGCCGAGATCGTATCACTGCACTCCAGCCTGAGCAACAGCGGGAGACGCTGTCTCAAAAAAAAAAAAAAAAAAAAAAAAGCAAATTAGGGTTGCTTGACAGGAGGGAATGAGGCCTCCCTGTGAGGCGACATATGAACTAAGGCTTGAAGGAGGGGAGTGAACACAGCTGGGGCTGCAGGGGTTTCCACACACAGAGAACAGCCAATGTGAGGTCTTAGGAACATGGGGCTCACCCTCGTGTGTGCTCAGGGCACATCTCAGGCCTGTCTTACCCAGGCCTCACCCTCTCACGCACCAAGACTTCTATTCCAGAGACAAAGGCCTCAGTATGCACATGACAGCCTGTAAGGGGTGTGCGATCAGTCCACTGCACAGAGTCACCACACTCAGGCAAGAGGATGGTAGGGCAGCAGCTGGTGGTCCCAGGCTCTTGTGCACAAATGACTTGGCAGAAACCACCTGGGCACAGACACCAGAGTGACCACCAGGTGGCGCAACGTGCCCAGAAACAGCAGTGAGGCGGCTGGGTGTTGGGGCTGTGGGGCACTGCATGGCTGGCTCTACCCTGAGCATCCCGCCCCAACCCCAAACCTATCACCCAGGCACAGAGCAAGGGCCCAGCAGAAAGCCCCAGAGCAGACAGGCCAGGCTTCGATTCTGGCCGCCAATGCTGGCCATGTGACTGTGACTCTGTTTCCCCCTTATACCACCTGGCAGATCTGCAGCTGCCCCCAACCCAGGGGGACCACACGGGGATCACAGCAGAGATCCAAACTGAGAAAGGCCCCTGAGCACGCCACTGGACAGACAGTTGTGGGGGACTGGCCAGAGCTTCCCAAAGCAATTTTAGACAGAAAACCCCAAATTTCTCCGCCTCTTTAAAGAACTGCAGCCCCTGAGCTGTAGGCTCTGCAGCCCACCCACTAAGGCCCCAGAAACAGCTTTCACACATGGGTGTCCCTCTCAACTGCTTGGAGGAAAGCCCCACCTATGCTGTACAAATAGGAAAACAAATAGGGAACACAAGCTTGCCCTGCTCAAGGTCATATATGGAGGGCAGCACAGGATGCTGCTCACAGCTCCTCACGATCTTTGCCAAGCAGGGACAGGCCCGGGACGGTACACACGGCTTCCTCCGACCCCATACCACCAGGGAAAGGTTGGGAATGCTGCTCACAGCCCCTACTGGTCCTACGTGGACCAGAACAAACACAGGTGGAAAAGGGTCCTTCAGGGATGCCTTCTGCTGGCTCTTACCCCACCCCTCACACTCCAACCCCTTCTCTGAGCTGACTGTGCACTTCAGTTCCCAGGTGAGAGATGGGGGGAAAGCGTTGGGAAGCTCCCCATGCAAGATGCTCAGGGGTTGTTCCATCCACAAGGCCCCCTAAGGCTGAGTTCCTCTCCCTGGCCCTCACTTGGCCTGGAATCTGGTGCAAAGGCCAAGGGTGGCAGCTGCCTCCACATCTATGGGAGTCCCTCCTGGGCCCCTGGCCCATGCAGACCCCCAGAGTGCCACAGGGTCAGACAGGACGGCGTCTTAAAGAGAACTGGGTGGGTCAAGGTCCCTCTGGGAGACCACTCTGCATCTGAATTGTGGCCCAAACCCAGCCCAGACCTGCGTGTCCTGGATACAGCCCAGCCACAGCATCAAGGAGTCACAGCTCAATTTCCTGATCGTCCCCAGGCTTTTCCTCTACAGAGCATACAGAGAGCAGTACGATCACCCTGCTGGTGAGGAAGAGCCAGGAGGGCTGCCTCTGAGTCTCAGACTCTAAGGGTGCAATTTCAGACCGTTGTCAGGCACATTGGGAAGTCAGGTGGTGCTCGGGAAGGGGCTTCCAGAACCCAGTGCTGGGACAGCATCCTGAGTACACTCCCAGCGTGTTCTCACCTAGAACATGGACAGATGTTCCCAGTGAGGCCATTATGGGGCCAGAGACTGGGGCCACTGCCAGGAACCAGAAGGCTGAATCCAGGGGGCCATCCTCTGCAGGAGTCTCTACCTGTGCCCAGCAGCACTAGGCCACACCCGGGTGGTTCTTCACTCAGGAGTGTGAGCGACCTTTGCCAACAGAGACCTTTGCCAGCTGATCAGCTCACATGCATCCATGACTTCTGTGGCTCCTCACAGCTGACTCCCTCCCCTCAAAGCCTGCACGTGCGCCCTGCACAACCTCCCACGTGTTTGAGGACCTGCAGCCTCAGGCTGCCCCACTTCACGAAGGTGGTCTTGGCCTGGATTCCCAGACACAACACAGCCCAGCACAGCAAGGGAGTTCATTCACACGTGATGGGCCACTGTCCTGTCACTGCTGGTTCCACAGCGCTCAGGACTGGCCTGCTGTGAAGCCACTGCTGGGTGAACACTGATCGCTGCAGAACCCAGGCCACTGGGTCTGTATCTAGGGTAATGAAGGATTACTCAAGACGACCCCTTGACCGGGTCTGGGAAGAGGAGCTGTCTGGCATGAGCAGGTGCGAACAGGAACAGTTAGGAGGTGAGAAGAGCTGAGCGCTGCATGTATGGGGAACCTGACCTCCCCAGTATGTCTCAGCCTGGGGCCCAACGTCAGCCCCAGCAAACAGCAGAGTACTCAGCTCAAGCGGAGGCACCAGCTGCCATGCTTGTACATCCAGTTCTCCTGGGGTTCCCCACCTCCCTAAAAACCCCTACCAGTGCAGGCAGAGGTCCTGCAGGTGGGCAGAGAACTCACCCTGCTCCCAGTGCTGGGTGTTCTGGCCTGCCACACCCCTGTGTGCCTAGATCCCCATCTGGGCCTCAAGTGGGTGGGATTCACAAAGGAAGAGCCAGAGTAGGCGTGGGGAGGGGCAGGCCCAGGCTGGACAAAGAGTCTGGCCAAGGAGCGGCACACTGCCCTCCCAGAGACAGTGGCTCAGTGTCCAGGCCTTCCCCAGGCGCACAGTGGGCTCTTGTTCCCAGAAAGCCCCTCGGGGGGGATCCCAACAGTGTCTCCCCCGCTGCTGGCCCCTCAGTATAGGGGGAAACTGTGGCCCATGGAGGGCCTGACTGCTTGGGGTCACACAGCATCTGAGTCACTGCAGCAGCATCACAGCTGCCAGCCCAGGCCCAGCCACATCGCATCCCAGGACCGGCTGGGGGACGGGGAGCAGGGCTCTCGATAAGGCTGAGGGTGAGAAGGGTGAAGGGAGCCACTGGCCTCATGCACACTGGAGTCCGCTCTGGCTGCCTGCGGAGCCTGGTGTGAAGGGGCTGGGTGGGGGATGCTGGAGAGTCCTGTGGACTCTGGTTTCTGCTCTGGAAATGTCTGCGGACCCATCAAGCTGGCCCCATGCACGGGTACAGGGATAGCCAGAGAGCAGGAGCCGGTGCAGGGAGGCCACTGGGGACAGCCCAGACTGACGCTCAGGCCCTGTCTCCACCACCTACACCCCAAGCAAGCCTCAGCTTTCCCAAATGGAAATCAGGGGTCACAGCAGGACCTGGCACGACAGGCAGTGGCTGACTCCACCAGTGTCTGGTGCTGCCTGTGGGCACTGGGTGCTCTCTAGGGGGCAGGAGTTAAGGTGTGAAAGGGCCCTACAGCATACGCAACAAGAGGGCAGCCCTGGGGACACCTGGGGGCGGTACCCTTCAAAGGTGTTGAGTTCGGGAAGCGACGACAGTGAAGCTCTAGCCAATGCAGGCACAGACAGTGGCCACAGCCAGTGCAGAGCTGCATCCTCAGGTGTGAGCAGCAACCACATCTGTCCTCAAGGCCTGCCCTGCGCACTCACAGGACCATGCTGGCAGGGACAACTGGCCACAGAGGGGACTGCCAATCGCAGGGCCAGAACCATCATGCCTGGGCTCTGCTCCTCCCAGGCAACTGACTGCTTTGAGGTCAGCTGGAGCAAGGGGCCTCACCCCAGGACACCTGCCCAGACGTGTCCTCAGCTCACCCGAGCCTCGTCCCCAGGGGAGGTGGCTCCTCCGGAATCCCCACCCACACGCTGGTCTCTGACCCGTCTTCTGCTTGACTTCTAATCTGAAGCCCAGTCCTAGATCTGCCTTGAGAAGGGGAAGTCACCAGCTGTCTGGCAGCCCAGCATTAGCTCCTCCGGCCTGATGAAAGGAAAGTCACCTAGCCTGTCTCTGTGCCCCTTCTGTTAATGGCATCATGCCGACAAGGACATCTGCCAGGCTCTTTGCAAACGCTCCCAGTGAAGCCTCTACTTTTCTGTGGAAGAAATGAGGATCAGGACGGAGCAGGGCAGGCCTGAGACTTTTGCAGGGTCCTCTGCAGGTCCCCAGCAGGACACACTGGTTCCCTGCCTCCCCCATCACCCCAGGCAAGTAGACAAAACAGGAGGTTTCCTACCAGCCACCTGTGAGAGAAGACGCCCTAGGGCCCGGAGACACAGGAATCCCTGATGCCACCAACATTCCGGGCCCTGACCTAGGAGAGTAGTACACAGGGAGGTAAAGGGGCCAGTGATGGGGAGGGGCGGGGCACTGCCCATGGCACATGGGTCACCAGAGCGAAATCCCTGCCTCGGTTGGGTCTGACAGGCTGACATGGCAGACACACCTGGGAGCCAGGGGTCACCAAGGGCAGGTCAGGGGACCTGTCCAAGCTGCACAGTCAGAAAGGGGACGGCAGCAAGGACTTAGCTACACCAGATTCTGGGTGTAAGCTGCCTGGTAAGCTGGTCCCCTCTAGTCCCCAGTCTGGAGTCTAGCTGGGTCCCAGGAGTTAGGCAAAAGCACTCTCTCCAGGCTGGAGGTGGGAGAGGCCCACACCCCATGCACACCTCTGGCCGGAGGACAGATGGGCAGCCCAGTCACCAGTCAGAGCCCTCCGGAGATGTCCCTGACTGACCCTATGCACATGCTCCCTGGTGCCCAGACACCCTTGGGCTCAGTAACCCCACAACCCCCTCCCGGGACCCACCAGTCACAGGACAGGACTGGACCAAGTCAGGGCAGAAATGGCTTCAGTCCTCAGCAGCTGGCTCACCTTCCTCAAACCAGATCCTGACTGATCACATTGGTCTGTCTAACCCCTGGGAGGGGGTCCTCCGTATCCATCTTACAGATAAGGAAACTGAGGCTCAGAAAAGCCCATCACTGCCTAAGGTCTCAGAACCTCTAAGGGAGTTCAAAGCCTTGGGCTAGGTCTGCCCCTGGCTGCAGACCCCAGAGGACAAGGCAGAACACCTAGGTTGTTCAGCCTCGTGGCTGTGGAGAGCTGTCAGACCCCTCTAAGACCCCATGCCACCTGCTCTATCAGGGCCATCTCAGTTGAAGGAGTAAGGAGTCACCCCCAAAATCATCCAACTCAAAAAACAGGCAAGAGCCAAGGAATTCAATCATTGGGCAAAATGTGATCCTGGCACAGACACGGAGGTGGGGGATCTGGAACCAGTGTGGGGGAGGCCCTCACAGCCAAGAGCAACTAGGGGTGCCCTGGGCAGGGACTATAGCTGGGAAGATCCTGAAAAACAAGGGAGACCTGGGTGACTCCCCCTGAACCAAGAGCCAGTTCATGAGGGGTGCTGGTTGAGGGATGACAGCAATCCCCCACCCTGCTCCAGGGGCCTGTTTGCGCAGTAGAGGCCAGCCAGCCAGTGAAGGCTACTTGGAAGGGCTGGGAAAGGGTCTGAGGCCTAGTGCCTGCAATCTGAGACCACCAGAGTCCTATGTACCCCATTTGCCACTGCCCCTTTCTCAGGAAAAGAGACCCAGCTTGCCCAGAATAACCCCTGGTTGGCTCAGCCTCAGGGACCCCTTGAGCCCCAGCCAGCTGCTTGGTTACTGGCTTCTGCCCACCCTTGGGGTGGGGGCAAGGGGGTTGCGGTTGGCTCCACAGGGGCGGGAGAACCCAGCCTGGGACTGCCTAGGCATCTAGCTGGGTCAAACCTGAAAAGCCAGTTTCATCCTTGAATCTTCTCCCAGTCTCCAACAGGAAGTCCCGTTGGGGGGGGGGGGGTTCCCAGGATAGGAGTAGGGCCTCCAGAACTAGACCCCACCCACCCAGACAGACACATTCAGTCTCCAGCTGCACACAGAAGAAGGAACTCTGGTCAGGACCATCTGGGCTGGGAGCAGGCCTTGGGGGGCCAGGGAAGATTCCCCACCCATTCCCGACCCAGCCCTACAAACATACCCAAAGCATGACAGCCACCCCTCTGCCAGTGCCCTGAGCACCTGGGGTCTGGCTGTCACTCCAGCTGGGAGAAGGCCTGTCTGTCTCTGCTGGCCTCTGGCACAGAGTGAGTGTCTGTCTACGGAAGTCGGTCCTAGCCCACCCTGGAGTTTCCATGTTTACAGATGGGGGAGTCAGTGCCCTGGGGCAGAAGGTGGAGTCAGTCCCCCACCCGCAGCTCCACTGCTCTGGCTATTCCCGTCGGTGAGGGCAGCCGGGACAGGGACGATCCCGCCCTGAGCTGGAGTTTCGACTTGGAGACACCACCCATCGGTGCTGGCCGGGAAGGAACATGCAAGGGGGGTGGGAGCTCAGAGGAGCCTGGGCACCCCCGGACTCAGCCTCCCGCTCCTGGGACCCTCAGCTGTTGGGCGGAGGCTGGAGCCGAGCTGTCCGGCCCAGCCAGGCCGCTGGGACTGCTAATCCAGCCACGGGCTATTTTTGCGGCGCTCCGGAATAGGAATCCGGGGCTGGGCCGCCTCCGCGGGTGACTCGGAAAACTCCGGGAAGAAAACTCCTGCCGCCCCAGCAGGGCTCGCCACGATCCCTCCCCAGCCCCGGCCCCGACAGGGCCCCGGCCGCTGCTCGGAGCAGCTCCGGCCACCGGGTGCTGAGGACGCGCCCCACGTTTGACGGACGCAGCCCCGGAGCCCGCCAGCCCGCGGAGCCCTGCGCTCCCGGCCGCGCTCACTCACCGCCGCAGGGGGTCCTTCGGGGGTCCGGAGGGCGCCGGGGAGGAGGGGCTGCCGCTGCTGGCCGGGAGGGCGCCCGCGCCGAGTCCCCGCCCGCCCGGGAATGCCATGGAGCGAGGGGCGTGCGCGCCGGGGGCGGGCCCGGCCGGAGGGGGCGGCCACGCTGACTCAGGGCTCAGGAATGCGCGCCTCCCGCCTGCCTGGCTCCAGTCACCTCCTCCGGGAAGGCCGCTGGGCTCCGCTCTCCCCATTGTCCGTTCGCGAAGAAGGACACCTGTGGCTGAGGTCGCGAGCGCCTCGGCCGGACCGAGGGCCTGGTGGGAGCATCAACGATGGGCGGCTCCACCTCTCCCTGGCTCCAGACTGAGGCCCGACCTGTCCTGCCCTGATTTGTGCTGAGAAGAGGGGGAGTAAGGAGAGAAGGCAGGTGGGGGTAGAGAGTGGAGGATGGGTGGGTATCCCTGGCTCCCCTCAACCAGACCTCCTCCAGAGGCCCACACTGATGAGTCCTGTATCCCAGTCACCCGGTCCTACACGTGAGCACTCACATTCCCTCACACACATACGTGTGCACACGCCACTGAACACTCAATCATACACACCCCACCTTCATTCATTTCATGCATTTCATTCGCTCACCCAAGCACACACTCACATGCACCCACCCACTCATGTACATCTTTCATGGGTATGTACTCCTGCCACTCACACATGTCCACACAAAATTGTACACTGATGCACACGATCAGTTCAGAACTGGAGCAACTGCCCGTTCCCAGGCCCCGTGTCCCCACCCCCAGAAGCCCTGGTCCCCCAGCACTCAGGCCAGGCTGCACCGGCCCCACCTGAGTCGCTGAGCAGAGGCAGCGCCATGTCCGCTGTCCACTCTGGGCTCTTCCCACCATCTCAGAGCTCAGCCACCACCCTGGGGTGGGCTCGTATCCCCGCACTCTCTGGGTTGGACTCAAAATGGCCCTCTGCTTTCAGCTGGGGCTGCTGGAAGTTTCCCAGCATTTGCCTCCTGATACTGGGTGGGCTAACCCAGGGGTGGGGGGACAGGGGTGCCAACAGCAGAGTACAGGCAGGGCTGTCCAGGAGCTCTGAGTGGTGAGGGGGCCGAAGCTTCTTCTGGATAGAGGGTGCAGGGATCCCTTCTTCCCATGGGTCCATAAGGACCCCTCTTAGAGAGTAGTCCCTCAGGCCTCGGAAAAATGTATCTTCAGGCCCTGTGCTGGTCACAAGGCTGCTGCGGCTTCAGTATCATCCTCTGGGCCTGGCAGGCACCAGCCCTCTCCAAACTGAGCAGTTGCACCCAATGCCCAATGCAGACAATGGCCTGGTCCTGGGCTCCACAGAAAAGAAAGGGGAAAATATGAACTAAAGGTGCTGGTACATTCACCGGGAGCTGCCCAGATCCTTGTCCACACCTGCACATAGTGGGCCTCTCCTAACACAAGCAATGCCAACATCCTACTCCTGTAGGAGACAGTGAAAGCTTTTGGGGGGGTGGAGGGGAACTCCACTGGGGGTAGGACTGCCTATGTGTCAGGGACATTGGGTGAAAGGGAGCCTGCCCCCGTGGCAACACTCGGGGCTCTGGTAGCCTGCACGTGCCACCTCACCCATGCCAGGCTCACAGCCAGAGACAGGACAGTCTCCGTGCCTAGCATTCTTGACCCCTGCCAGGAATAATCAAGCCCTACTGGGCCTGGATGCCCAGACGACGCTGGCAGGGCCAGCTAGCGTGTCCTCTCTGGAAAGCTGGGGCCTAGGCTTGCCTCCAAGGCATGCCACAGCTGGGCATCTGGTGTCAGCAGGTCTCCTTCTGCAGTGGACGCTGTCAGGCTCCACCCAGACCCGCTCCAAGACCCAGACACTCATTGCCAGCTGCCAGGAGCACCAGCCTCAGCTGGCTCAGAGCTGAAACACCCCCCACCGAGGAGTTGCCTTCAGTGGAAAGCATGCCCTGGTCTGCCCCTACAGGCAAATCCCCACCTCAGAGCCTGTGTCCAGGAATCCCCAGGCTCTCAGCCCACCCTGACCTCCTGAGTGAGAAAAATTAACACTGAGACAAAGGATCTTTCAGCAACGCAATTTTTACTTCCTGGACTGCAGGAAGTGGCACCATGGCTACCAGAAGTACCCATCCTGCAGTCCAGGAGGTTAAAAACTGTGTTGCTGAGAGATCCTTCTTCCCAGTGCTAATTTTTCCTTGTGGCACCAAGCATCTATTTCCAAAAAGGATGACCAGAGGGGGTCAATATACATGTGCTCAGGACTGACAGCACACAGTCGACATGGTCGAGTTTGTGGACCTCAAACCAGGACACGAGGTAATAGGAGCCCTGACCAGTAAGAGGAGTTCCCAACAGCTACTCCAAAATCCTCAGCTCAGTTTCCAGGCCACAGGTAACCACCCCAAGGGGTCAGACCCTGGGCTTTGGAAAGTCCCTGGAAGGATCATAAGAAACTGCTCCTACATGGGGAGCAGAGCTGCAGGGATGGGCCCATGACCAGCTCCTGGCTATTTGGGGAAGAGGCAGAAGTGGGCCAGGCCAGCCAGTGGCCTGAAGTCACAGGCTATTTCTGAGGCAGCTGCCCCCTCCCCATATCCCAGGGTTTAGCAAGGGGTTCCCATAAGCACCTGGGCCCAGGACCCAGCAGTACTGGCAGTACAGACCCATGCAGGGAGAATGCAGATCACCCACACCCCACTTCAGTCTGCCCAGTGGCTGTCTTCTCTGCCCAAGGAAGCTTTGACCCTTCAGGGCTTGCTGGACAAAGAGGACCCCAGAGACCAGTGAAGAGGTCAGCAGCCATCCTACTGGGAAGCAGTCCGCTCACGGCTGTGTAGAGGGTCCCAAGGCCTCTGACCTGACACCCGCTTCAACAGCTGTCAGAGCCCCCCTCCATCAGAAAGAGATGGAGTTAGTGTGCTGGGCACTCCAGGGCCGTGAAGATGATACCAGAATCCTAAGCTTCTGCAGCCGATAAAGCCACACCTCTCGAGGACTTGCTTATAAAGGCCCCAGTGACTGACTGACAGCCACCTCCTACAGCCAGAGGCAGCTCCAGCCGCTCCACAGCCTGTGGCCTGTTGTGGAGGTGGGGAGACAGGGCTGCTCACTGGAGTACCAATACTAGCCTTTTGACTCGCCTTTTTTTTTTTTTGAGATGGAGTCTCGCTCTGTCACCTATTCTAGAGTGCAGTGGCGTGATCTCAGCTCACTGCAACCCCTACCTCCTGGGTTCAAGCGATTCTCCTGCCTCAGCCTCCCGAGTAACTGGGATTGCAGCCATGTGCCACCACACCCAGCTAGTTTTTTGTATTTTTAGTGGAGATGGGAGGTTCACCATGTTGGCCAGGCTGGTCTCAAACTCATGACTTCAGGTGATCCGCACCCCGCCCTCGGCCTCCCAAAGTGCTGGGATTACAGGCGTGAGCCACCATGCCCAGCCTTTGCTCCCCTCTCCATCCCACAAGGAGTCTGACTGTGTCACCCGGGCTGAAGTGCAGTGGCAATCTTGGCTCACTGCAACCTCTACATCCTGAGTTCAAGCAATTCTCCTGCCTCAGCCTTCTAAGTAGCTGGGATTTACAGGCACGTGCCACCACACCTAGCTGATTTTTGTATTCTTAGTAGAGAAACAGATTCACCACGTTGGCCAGGCTGGTCTTAAACTCTTGACCTCATGATCCACCTGCCTCAGCCTCCCAAAGTGCCAGGATTATAGGCGTGAGCCACTGTGCCCAGCCCTGCCTTGACTCCTTTCAAAGCCTAAGGGTGTCCTCATCTCCATCTTCAACTGATACCCTTGGACTCCTCCAACAAGCCTATTCCAGCCCAGCACTGGGGCAAAATGGGAGCAGAGGAGGCCTGTCTCACCTGGCACCACCTCCTCTGGCCTCTCGCCACAGACCAGCCCACCAGCCCACTCTGCAGGCCACAGTTGGAACGCTCATCCCCCACTTCCAGCCTGAGGTGGGAGCTTTAGACCACAAACCAGGAAGTGGGGGGGGTACCCAGAGATTGCACAAGCCCCAGCACTCAGGCCAGAACATCTGGAGAAGTTGGTTGGTTGCTGGCGCCCTGGCGCCGCCCCTCCTCCTCCTGGGGCAGGGGCCAGTCTGCCCTCTGAGTCTCTTTCCTCATCAGAAATGGGGGGATAAAAACACGCCTCTGGGAGCCTCTGGACTCCCCATGATTTCTACAAGGATCACGTATCACTTGTAAAATCAGAATAAATGTAAGTACAAAGCAACACCCACCCTGTCCCTGCCCATCAAGATATAGGCTCAACTGGGGCCTCAGTTTCCCTGCTAGATTTAGGGGAAGCACTGGGGGGGATGGGGGGCTGTTCCCACAGGAAGGAGAGAGGCATTGTTTGGGTTGCATAGCAGGGGATAAGCAGGGAGGGTGTGGGATCACATCCAGGCCTGCTTTATAAACATGGATTTATGACACATTGTCCCCCCCCACCACCTCCGGAAGCAGTACACTGGGCTAAACAGCTGGTGGCTTCCAGCAGGCGGCTGATGGCCCCTCCCTCCCCAGGAAGTCCTGGCTGAGGCCCATGGCGGTGAGACAGCTCAGAGGAGGAGATACAGTTGGAGACCAGGGTTCTGCCCTGTTAGCTTTTCTGTAGGACCAGGTGTCACACTCATCTGAGGGCTCCAGACACGGCCTGTGCATCTGCCCTGCAGTGCGTCTGTCCAGCCCAGCGTCTCCCAGCTGACACTGCCAGATGCCCAACTGCTCTTCAGGGCCTTTTCAGATGCCCCTTTCCAGGACCAGGGTCACAGATATCAAAGACAGCTCAAGAAAAGCCCCTCGGCCGGGCGCAGTGGCTCACACCTGTAATCCCAGCACTTTGGGAGGCCGAGGCGGGTGGATCACGAGGTCAAGAGATTGAGACCATCTGGTCAACATGGTGAAACCCCATCTCTACTAAAAATACAAAAAAATTAACTGGGCATGGTGGCGCATGCCCGTAGTCCCAGCCTCTCAGGAGGCTGAGGCGGGAGAATTACCTGAACCCAGAAAGCGGAGGTTGTGAGCCGAGATCGTGCCATTGCACTCCAGCCTGGGTAACAAGAGTGAAACTCCATCTCAAAAAAAACGAAGAACTCCTCAAGGGTTTTTACACGGCAGAGGTGGGTTGTGGGGTGGGATGGTGCCTGCTATAGGGGAGGGGCCCTGCAGATCCAGATAAACCCTCAAGCAGCCAGAAGTTGGGGAGGGCTGTGCTGGGTGCTGGGGCTGCCATGAGCCATGGGAGCCAGCAGTGTGCCCAGCCCCCTCGGGGCCCATCCCCTAGGCCCTTCCTTCCACTGCACGAAGCACCGTCCCTGCCCCTCCCTAAGGGCATGGATCTGACTTGAGAGGTTACAGACGCAGCAAGCGCTGGGCCGTGGGGAGGCATCGGAAGCAAAGGGCGGCTGCGCACTGCCAGGCCGTGTTCAGCCCTGGTCTGGCCTCAGCCTCTAGAGGAGGCTGGCCGCGCTCCAGCAGGCACAACCCAGAACGTGGGCGAGCTCGCCTCAGCATCCTTGGGCGGAAAGAGGGATGGGGGCTCCAGTGCAGAGACAGAACCCGCGCCGCTCCCTCCTTCCTTCCTCCCACCAGTCTGTGACGACCCCGGCCCAAGGGCGTCCACTTCCTGGACAGGGACTCCTTGGCCCATTCCGACCACACGTGGGGCGGCCTCCCAAGCGCGGCCTCCCAAGCGCGCACTCCGCAGACATCCCACCGGAAAACACGTCTGCGGCCTGCCCCTCCCCCAAAGCAAGACCACTCCGCCCGGGCCCCCCGAGGACCCAGGCAGGTTCACAATGGACCCGTTCTCTGCGTGGTGTGACCACCGGCTGGCGGAGTGGGCTCTGAGGCCGCAGGGGGACCAGGGCGCAGGCGGGGGCGGAGACCCGGTCACTGGGGCACGGTGGCGGGGAGGCTCCCCCGACCCCAGCTGCCCCTTGCCCGCTTTCGCTCCGCAGGCACCCCATCAGGCCCGGGCGCCGGTCCAGAACTGGCAGACGGCTCTGAGAAGATCCGCCTCCGTGTGGTCCGCCCCGCCCCGAGGGCGCAGTCCGTTTCCGGCGCTCACTGCCCCTCCCTTCCCGGCTTCCGTCCCCTTCCGCGCAGGCGCCCGCTCCATCCCGGTCCCAGCGGCTGCTCCGCGCCGGCGTCCGGGGCCCACGAAGCCCCAGCCCAAGCCGCCGGATGCCCGCGCGCAGCGGGGCCCAGGTGAGCGCGCTCCTCGGACGCACCGCGGAACAGACGGCCCACCCCCAGGCGCAGCAGTGAACGGGGCCGCCGGACCCGGAGAGCCTGGGACGGGCGCACCGCCCACCGCCTCGGGGGTTCAAGGCAGAGCCAGAGCGTGCCGGGGCGGGCCGAGGGCCAAGATCGGACCGAGAGCAGGGGCCGCAGCGCGCTGGAAGGGCGGGTCGAACTGAGGAGACGGTCACGTGACCGTCCGTTCCAGGCCCACTGGCAGCGTCAATTCGACATGAACGTCAGCACTCCCGTTAAAAATAATGCACGTCTCCCATGCCGGGAGGACTTGGGTGCTGCCAGGCCGGCGCTCACCCTCCGCCTTCATCTTCCCTCCTCCTTCCGGCCCCCGAACAGCTGAGGATTTGTGGTCAGGCTCCCTTGCCTATGGGGAGGCCGCAGGTGGGAGGTTGGTGGTCTGCTGGGTGTCAGCAGACCCTCCTAGTCCTTCAGGAGACTTTACCTTTGCCCCACTTGCTCGTTATCCAACCTGGGCCATGAAGCAGAGGACAGTTAGGGACCCTGAGCCCATGGGATGGGGCCAGGCCAGCGGTCACCACAGTTCTCACCCCTCCCTGTGTTTCAGGCCTTGGGGCCATTCCCGGGAATCTGGTGCAGTGGGATCCCTAAGGCCCCGCCAAGGTCCTGGCTGTGTTTTGAATTCCTGGTCAGGGTTGGATGAAAGGGCAGGGTTCCAGAAACCAGCTCAGACGTTTGCTTGGGGCCTGCACGATGGGTGGGAATCAGAGGGCACCAGCCCCACTGCCCCAGGCTCAGGCCCCCATCTGCTCCTCAGGGCGTGCCGTCCCGGTCCCCCACGCTGTGTACCCCCCACATATGTGGGGCAGAGCAGCCACCCTACCACCAGCAGCAGCCATCCATCCTCAGATGTGACCACTTCCCGAGGTCTCCACTGTGTCTAACAACCCACAGGGCAGTCACCACCGCTTTGCAGATGAAGAAACTGAGGCAGGTGGTCAAATCCAGTCCTTGAGCTCCCCAGCCTGACCTCACCACACAGCTGTCTGTCCTCTCCTATTCCGATGCTTACATTTTTTTTTCCCATTACAGTCTTCCCGAAGGACGGGGCAAAAAAAGCAGCAACTAGACAAAGCGGAGCGGCCGCAGAGCCCATCCTATGCAGTGCAGGCACCCTGCCCCAAGGAGCCCTGCTTGGGACCACCCACCACTCTGGGCCCACACCGCAGCATCTATTTCTCAAGCCCAAAGGGCTACCTTACTCGACTGGGGTCGGAGTTTTTCGACCAGCCGGCAGTCACCTTGGCCCAGGCGTTTCTGGGACAGGTATGTACATGTCATAGTCTCTCCTCAGGTACCTGTCACTGCAGTTGTCCCTGAACTGCTGCCTCCTGGGCTTGGCCCCTGGTTAGTCCTCCTTGTCCATGCAGTTAGCTGCTTTGCTCACACTGGTCCCTGGATAGCTTCATCTCAGTTGTCTGAGATCATCTGGGAAGAATGTGGAGATTGTCAGTGCCACCTGCCCAGGGTGGAGCAAGGGTGCCACTGTCTACCCCCCGGCTCCAGGCATCTAGGGCAGGAGCGCTTGCAGCATTAGCTTTTCTCACCGGGAATCCACCTCACAATCTTTCCACACGTGGGAACTGTGGCTGTGGCCATGGCCAGTGTTGGGCTGCCCCTTCCCACTGCAGTGGCTTCCCAGGGCCCCTGCAGCTCAGTGTAGGTCCAGGGTCTGGGATCTGCCAATCAGACTTGGAGTAAAAACCAGGGACTGCCCAGGGCCCATCCTGGTGGGGCCTGTGGTGCAGCCTGTCCCCACAAGCTGGTGCTCACACAGCTGTGGCATCCTGACTGGATCTATTGGGAGCACCGTCTGGGTGTTGTTCCTGAATGCACAAGCTCCAGGACTGCCTTTCTGGTTCTTCAGGGGCTCCAAGGCCTTCTCTTTGTCCTTCAGTCAACCTGCTTTTAGGTTAAAATCACCAAGAAGAGAAATAGCAGTGCCAGCCTAATTTTAGGTTAAAATCACCAAGAGAAATACCAGTGCCAGGAATCGGGTGTTAAAGCAGCAGACCCTAGACCTTGTGGAGAACAGACAACATTCTGTCCCCATGAGGATCCTTCTAAAAGCACCTTAAGTAATGGGCATTTGTGATACAACAAAACGTCACATGTGGCAGGTACATCCCAGGATCAGGGTGAGGGCCCAGGGTGGTATCAGGGGCCACAATACATTTGTCTATACTCAGCCTCCTTGGCAGGCCACAGTCATGCCCACTTGAGCCCACTGGTGGACATGATGATGGGTTGCCAGCCCAGCCCTGGCTGTGGCCTGAGGTGTCTTCAGCCTACAGTCTGGTGGTCCCTGGAGGAGACAGCTGGTGGCCTCAACAGCCACAATCAGGCTCTGAGCAGGAGCAAGAGAAGAGGCCAGATGGAGATGGGGCAAGGTCCCTGGCTACACCTGGGTGGCTGATATACCCTGAGCTGGGAATATGAGGTCCAGACTAGAAACTTAGGGTGAGTAGACCCCCATCCCTTCCTGCCCTGAGCAGAAACCAACTACCCACAGGTCTTAGTCCGGCGACTTCCTAATGGCACAGAGCTCCGAGGCCGCATCGTGGAGACTGAGGCATACCTGGGGCCAGAGGATGAAGCTGCCCACTCAAGGGGTGGCCGGCAGACCCCCCGCAACCGAGGCATGTTCATGAAGCCAGGGACCCTGTATGTGTACATCATTTACGGCATGTACTTCTGCATGAACATCTCCAGCCAGGGTGAGCAGTGCTGGGGCAGGGGGCGTCGGTGGTTGAGGGGGCTGGAGAGCTGGCAGAGCCCCATCAGCTAGCAGCCAGGGGACCCCAGGAGGACTGAGGAGGGGCAGGCATTTGACCAAAGAAGTGCCATTTCCAGGGCCAGATCAGGGTTTCAGGAGCTCTGGCTGCATTGACGGGGCAAGATTGGTTAGAGGGTCAGAAAGGGTTGGTTGGAGTGGAGGCAGAAAGGAGGCTGAGGACACAGTTGTCAGCTGCCCTTGATGGAGGCAGCACTTGAGGATGAGGAGCTGGTTTGAGAAGAGGATGACTGGCTGGGCGTGGTGGCTCACACCTGTAATCCAAGCACTTTGGAGGCCAAGGTAGGTAGGTCACCTGAGGTCAGGAGTTCAAGACCAGCCTGACCAACATGGTGAAACCCCGTATTTAAAAAAAAAAAGAGGGTGATTGCAGTGCCAAGAAGAACAGAGTGGTCAGGCTACCAAGGACGGAATAGTTCACACAGCAGGTGGGGGGGGGGTTTAGGGTGGGCAGAGGAGTAAGTGAGAACGGGGAGGTTTGGCAAGAAAAGATCAAAGGGGTCATGTTTTTATCAGGATGTGGGACTTGGATGTGTTCTGTGTGAAGGAGCCAGGACAGGAGGGTGTGGTGGTGAGGGTGGCCAGGCTGTCACTCTTGCAGGTGGCTCTGTGGGGGCTCAGTGAGACAATGAGGGGCATGTGTCCTGCACCCACAGGGATGTAGAGGGTCCTGCTCCTTCCTACTGAGGTGAGTTGAGGTGCGGGCACCAGGCGCCCCACCTGGTGAGCTGGAAGCACTGTGGGAATCACAGAACTGATGGGAACTTAAAGGCTTTGCCCGGCCTCGATTTCATCTTGAAATGCTTTGATAACTCTCTGGTTAAGGGTATCTGCTCACAGGAACGTCACACTTGCTGGCTCTGCCAGAGAGCATGGCTTTGTCCAGTAGTGCTGGCCTCTGGCTGCCGATGCAGAGGCTTATATGGCCACCGCCCCAGAATGGGGACTGGCTTGGCCACCCTCGGGCTAAGCCTTTGACTCCAGGTGGCTGGAGGGCCAGGGATGCACAGGTGAGTCAGAGCAGGTGTCTCCAGGGAGCTGCCTTGCTGGAGGGCCAGGGCTCCTCTGGCCAGGGTCCAGGTTATCGTTGTTCCCAGCCAGGAAGCTGAGGGGCCTTTCCAAACTTGCAGGACAGAGGGAATTTGGGTATCTGTGGGCCTGAGTGAGCCCCTGGGCCCAGGAGCATCTGTTTGTGCTCTCCAGCTTCTCAAGTGGACTGGCCTAGTGAGGGAGGGGACTGGGCTGGAGGAAGGATCCCAAGGGAAATGAGGGGCTTTGTCGGCCTCCTCCTGCTCTGCCTGTGCAGGTTGCAGTCAGTCTTTCCACTGAGTCATTGCCTGGGCTCTCCCAACATCCTGCATACACTGGCAGCTGCTCTAAGCCAGACCCTAACCCCACCACTTGCCCAACACAAATGTCGAGTGGGTGAGGCAGAAGGGGAGCCCTGGGGCCTGGCTAGGCCCAAGGCTTGCTGCTTCCTGGCAGAATGACCCCACCCAAGGACTGGCTCTCTGGAGTTTCCTTTGCTGGTCTCACAGCTGCTGCCAATCACAAGACCAGGGGAAGCCAGGGAGAAAGGAGCTGATACCCAGCATTCGTCATGTTTTTACAGTTTGGCTTCATAGGGGCATCCACAGTGGTGGGAGCCAGAGGGCCCCATGGGAGACACACCTCATGGCGCAGGCATGGAGGATGGTAAGGTAGGCAGAGGGGTCTGTACAAATTGATGTGCAGCCCCCTCCCACCAGGTTAGACCCAGTAGACAGTGCAGGTGCACAGAGCAGGTCGCTGGCCCGGGCAGAAGGCAGCTGCACCCTCCCCGCAGCACAGCATGTCTGGATGTGCACAAGGGAACAGGAGCCCAAGGAGGCTCCACTTCCAAGCTGTCCATCCATCCCACAGGGGACGGAGCTTGTGTCTTGCTGCGAGCACTGGAGCCCCTAGAAGGTCTGGAGACCATGCGTCAGCTTCGCAGCACCCTCCGGAAAGGCACCGCCAGCCGTGTCCTCAAGGACCGTGAGCTCTGCAGTGGCCCCTCCAAGCTGTGCCAGGCCCTGGCCATTGACAAGAGCTTTGACCAGAGGGACCTGGCTCAGGATGAAGCTATATGGTTGGAGCATGGCCCCCTGGAGCCCAGTGGACCAACTGTAGTAGCAGCAGCCCGGGTGGGCATTGGCTATGCAGGGGAGTGGTCCCGAAAACCCCTGCGCTTCTATGTCCGGGGCAGCCCCTGGGTCAGTGTGGTCGACAGAGTGGCTGAGCAGGATGCACAGGCCTGAGTAAAGGGCCTGCCGGGACAACATTTTAATTGTTAAAAAACAAATAAATGTTTTATTTCTAGAAAACTGTGAGTTAGCCAGAGTCCCCCTAGGTGATCAGCACGTGTCTGGAGCCAGCTCTTTCTCCATGACACAAGGGCTTGGGGCCCCGAGTATATAGCACCAGGCCCAGTGTGGACCCTGGGGAGAATTGTCAGTGTGGGGTCCTGCACAGTGGGCCATGCCTACAGCAGCAAGATGTGCACAGGTGACAGGGCTGCTCCAGCCTAGCGGGCCAGCCCAGGCCCTCATGCCCCAGATGGTCAGGACCAGGTCACAGCTTGGCTATGAGCCCGTGTGTGACTTATGTGGACTGTGATGAGGGCGGGGCCTGGAAAGGCTCATGGCAACCTGGGAAGAAGCACATGGCAGAGAGAGGTGATGCTGGGGAAGGGGCCATAGGGCACCTCACAAATGGAAGGCTGTCAGATAGGAATAGGCCACACAAGTGTTTCTGCACATTCTTCAGGGCGGCCACAGAGGGGGTTCCAGGGAGCAGGTATGGGGACAGAAGGAGGGTCTGAGAAATCAACAGCCCGCATGGACCTAAAAGGATGTAGCCCTCACCCATGGACAGGAGTCCTGGCAGGCTCTCTCCAGCGTGGAGATGTCTATGCATGCAGCGAGGACTGGAGGGAAGCATAGGAGCACATACGGCAGCATCCCCACAGCTGAACCACCCATGGCCAAGACAGTGGGGCTCTGTAGGCCCTCGGTCAGGCCAGGGCTGGCATCCACCCAGTGCTTGGCCTCAGGGCTAAGAGGGCTCAGCCTCAGCAGGGAGGGAGCCCACCTGCACATCCCAGCAGCTCAGGGAAGCAGAGCCTGGAAGACAGCAATGACGGGGTCCTCGTGGGTGGTCACCACCAGCACGCTGCGGAACTTGTCAAAGAGCATAAGCAGCTGGGAACGCCGCGTGTTCTCGTTGTACATAATCTCCTCCAGGTGGTGACGGCCTCGGAAGTAGTGAAGGAGCCTGGAAAGGATAGGAGGCCAACCTGACGCCAGTCCCCAAAGGCCTCTGCCGAATAGCTACTGCTGGGGATCAACTCTGAGTTTCTCACAGGCCTGAGCAGAGCTGGCAGTGAAGGCCAGGGTGGCAGCCACCATAACCCCCCAAGGGTAGGCAAGCCTCCTTGGACCCATGCCCACCATGGTCCCGCTGACCAGATGGGCAAAGTTGGGAGGGTAGACAGCTGTTCAAACCCGGAGCTGCCCCAGCCTGCATCCTGATGTTGGGACTGGGTATCTGCTGGTGGCTTTTTCATACTACAATGAGTCCCATGTAACTCTGGAGCCAAAAGGTCACTGCCCCTTTCTTTCTTTTTTTTTTTTTTTTTTTTTTTTTGAGTCTTGCTCTGTCACCCAGGCTGGAACGCAAGTGTTTCTTCTCTAGGGGCTGGAATGTGGTTTTTAACAGGGAGCTTAGTCCCTGACAACCTGACCACTCCCAGAAAACCATGCCCCTAGACTGCCCCCCCAAGTCAGGATAGGGCTGACAAAAGACCACTGAGCAGTATCACCTATAACGTGGGGGATCCTGGATGCCCACAGGGCTTGCAGTCCTGGGCAAACCCCTGCCAAGTCCCATGAGAATGAGAACTTGGTGCTGCTTCTTAAGCGACAAGAAACATCTAAGAAGTACTGGGGAGATAAGACTCCCAAAAACAGGCACAACAGGCCCACGGCCTGGGGTCTTTGTGACAAGCTGCATCCCCATGCCTGGGCAGGGGCACCTACCCCTACACACCTGAGTGTAGACTCCACCTGAAACAGGGCCCCATGTGTTGTCAGTGGATTTGGTGGTCCTGTTGGGTACATCCCTATCCACTTCCTGCCCCGACCCTCCAAGTGGCCCCAGTCCCAACGGGTCAACCTGCACCTACCTGGCAAACATGCGCAGGTCCTCAGGGTTCTGGGCTGCAGGTACACTGAGGATGGCTGCACGCTCATGCTCCGACAGGCTGGCCAGCAGGTTCTCTGTCATCCTCTGGTTCAGTGGCGAGTCCCCACTGGGAAGCAGCTCTGCGCTGGAGTTGTCCATGCTGGGGCTGGTGAGGGTCATGTCATCGCTGCTGGCTGTGGGGGGCAGGGGTCAGGTGACAGCAGCACCAAGTGGAATTCCAGGACACCAGGGGAACAGCAAGGGCAGACCCAGCAGCCAGCCTCCAGTGACACCCGTGACTCCCACAAGGCCCCTGCCTGGTGCCCCAGCTGCAACATCTGCCTGTAAGCACATGCTGCTGCCCCACCTCCTGGGTGTGACACATGCCCCTCATGGCTGACCTGGGAAATGGGCAGTCTCCCCTCTGGGGGCAACTTCAAGCAAACAAAACAGAGGTGTAATGTATACCTCACACATACCCCGAGGTGGGCCTGGCCATTTGTCCCTCATCGAGGATGGAGGACAAAGCACACCAGGCAGGCAGTGTCCTCACATGAAGCATGAAACCTACAGCCAGACCTCAGCCAGGGGAGGACTTTCAGAGTCTTCCACCCACTTCCTTCCCCAAGCCTGAGGACCTGGGACCTACGAACAGGCTGCTGCTCTCAAGCCACACTGGCCATGACTGCTCTTCTGGTGGCCCAAAGGTGTCAGCTGTCCCAGTCGTGGTGTGGATCCCGCATGGATCCCTGGCTGGGGCACAGATTCCAGCATTGATTTGGTGGGCTGGGAGCTGCTCCTGACTCTAGCAAAACTGCTGAAGAGCCCAGAGGCAGAGCTGCCACCTCAGAGTCATGGTGATGCTAGGAGACAGGAGAGGCGTCTCCCAGAGGACACGAGGGGCATGCATGTGCGTGTGCTGCCGTGTGGAGGCCCTTCATCACCCATAGCAGTGCCCATGTGGAGCCTCCTGGGCACCCCTCCCAAGCGTCTCCCCTGACTTCCAGATTGATGCTCTGGGGACCCTTACTTGGGGAGCCAAAGCTGAGGGCGTTGGGCGTGCTGAGGCTTCGACCGCCAACCCGGGCAGTGAAGGGGACATCGTCTTCTCGCAGGCGGGGCTCCTCCTCGCTGGGTGAAGCCATCAAGCAGACATAGGTGTGCAGCTGGATGAGGAGCCGGCGCTGCAGCATCCACACCACCATCTGTATGAGCTGGGTCTGTGGGTGGCAGCAGGTGAGGCTGGTCCCCATCCCCAATCCAACCCCTTCCTGGGGGATCAGAGAGCCACAGCCCTAGACATGGCCACAGCATACTCCCTGTGCTGACTCCCAGGCAGAAAGGCCCTCTCGTCAGAAAGGGAGCCCCCAGCTGCCAGCCAGCTCTGCAAGGCCAGCTCACCCTCCCAGGAAGGGAGAGGGTCTGGGGGAACATCTGGATCACACCTGGGCTGCCCAGTGTCTGGCCGAGATATGGGACCTGAGATATGGAGGTCCCTGTGACCCCTTCTCTGAGCAAACCCCCCACACTGCTGCTGCAGCTGCCCTTCTGCCTTCTTCTCTCTCCTTCAGCCCACTGGCCCTGCAGTTGGACCCAGCCAACCAGTCTACCTCCAGACAACCCCAGACACTGTTTAGAAAGAGGCAGTGAGCAGGTGGCCTAAGAGCAAAAAGTCCTCTCCTTGGATAGGACCACCCTGAGCACAAGTGGAGCCACAAGAAGCTGAGGCCAGTGACTCTGTGCTTGGGGGTGGAGTCCCCCCGCCCCCCTGCCCCCACCGTGAGAAGGCATGTCCCGGCCAGGCCCTCCAGTGTCTCTGCGTTAGCAGGTAGGGCTGACAGTGAGGAGCCTTGTGTGGGGTCGAGTCCAGTCCCCTTGAGAGGGTACTGCCCAGACACAAATGCTGAGCAGCGAGCAGTGTGAGACAGCATCAGTGTCATCAGATACACATCTGTCTACCAATCTCCGGGAGGGTCCACAAGGAGCTGCTGGCCAGAGTCACCTCCTGGGAGTGGGCTGGGGAACTGGGGATGGGAATGGGGGATGTACCCCAGGCAACTAGGAAGACCTGGTCAAAAGGACTGCAAGATACCCAGATTTTACATGAATTTAATAAATAAAAGAGGGGGCCGGCACGGCAGCTCATGCCTATAATCCCAGCACTTTGGGAGGCTGAGGCAGGTAGATTATCTAAGGTCAGGAGTTCGAGACCAGGCCTGCCAACATGGTGAAGTCCCATCTCTACTAAAAATACAAAAATTAACCATGCATGGTGGCAGGCGCCTGTAATCTCAACTACTCAGGAGGCTGAGGCAGGAGAATCATTTGAACCCGGGAGGCAGAGGTTGCAGTAAGCCAAGATCATGCCACTGCAATTCAGCCTAGAGAAGAGAGCAAGTTTCTATATCAAAATAATAATAAAGCTGAGCACAGTAGCTCATGCCTGTAATCCCAGCACTTTGAGAGGATGAGGCAGGTGGATCACCTGAGGTCAGGAGTTCAAGACCAGCAACACAGTGAAACGCCGTTTATATAAAAAATTAGCCAGGCGTGGTGGTGGACACCTGTAATCCCAGCTACTTGGGAGGCTGAGACAAGAGATCACTTGAACTGGGGAGGCAGAGGTTGCAGTGAGCAAATATTGTGCCATTGCACTCTACCCTGGAGTGCAATCAAAAATGAAATAAAAAATAAATACATTTTTTAAAAATGAAGGGCCAGGCACAGTGGCTCACGCCTATAATCCCAGCACTTTGGGAGGCCGAGGTGGGTGGATCACGAGGTCAAGAGATCAAGACCATCCTGGTCAACAAGGTGTATTTTTAGTCTCTACTAAAAATACAAAAATTAGCTGGGCATGGTGGTGCGCGCCTGTAGTCCCAGCTACTCGGGAGGCTGAGGCAGGAGAATTGCTTGAACCCAGGAGGCGGAGGTTGTGGTGAGCCGAGATTGCGCCATTGCACTCCAGCCTGGGTAATGAATGAAACTCCATCTCAAAAAAAAAAAAAATTAAATAAATAAATAAAAATTAAAAAATGAAACAGAGGGGCTTCCCAGCACTGGAGCCCAGGCAGAACCTGGGCCCCTTGACAAGGCCTGGAGCAACCACTCAGTCATGGCCTGGAAAAGCCACCCTAAGGGA